AGTATAAGGTATAATCATAAAATTAACTACCAGTAATTGTTAGCTAAGTTTAGTAAAAAGGCTGGTTTTGTTAGTGTTAGTTATAGCACAGTTAGAAGGTATTTTAATAAAAAAAGGTATTAACTGTTATGTTACTGCCCAAAAACTGTTTTTAAGGGTGACAAATAGGATTTAAAGATATTATTGGTGTAAGGAAAGACTTAATGGTCAGTAAAGATTGGTTTAAAGTCATTTTTAGTGATGAATCAAATATTTAGATGGTTAATTGTTAAAAGATTAGTTTCAGAGAAATATAAGAAAAGATTTTGTGTATCAACAAAACAAGCCGTTGATGGCTCTATTAGTATATCGAGATGTATTTCTCATATATAATGGGATAAGATTACAATATTTAAAGCAGCACGGCTAGCACAATGATCAGATCTAAATTCCACTGAAAATGTTTGGCCCTGGATTATTAAAGGAGAATGTTGAAAGCGTTTCTCAATTAAAACTTGCTCTGGAAAAATTTTGGACAAAAATTCCAATGTAGTTATGCATACATCTTATTGAATCTAAATGTATTAGAACCTAAATAATAAAAATACGAGAAAGATTAGGAGTAGGGATGGGTTGGTGAATAAATCAGTCTAACCTGGGTGAAATAAGCTTTCGCTAGGCCACTTTTTTTATTAATTCCATTAGATTGCGTCTTTTTTGTTTGTTTAAAAAGCCTAAAAATAATTTACCTAAACATTAAAAAGTATCTTTATATTTTTGAAAGCTATATATGACATATGAATCTGTGACATATTAATGTAAGTGAAAAAGAAAATTTGAAAAATGAGATTTTATGCATACGAGTAGAAATAAAAAAAAAAAGAGTATCTAAGGGGTCGTTCATAAATTACATCACTCTACGAGGGAAAAAGCATTAATGGTTTTATGACAACTCGTCATAAAACCATTATGGTTAAGTTGTCATAAAACCCAATGGTTTTATGACAACTCGTCATAAAACCAACTTGTTTTTTTCTAAATATAATTTGAATATTATCAAATATTCAAATTATATTTACTTAAAAGTGCACTTAAAAGTGTTCTGTTATCTTGGCTGCCGCTGTCATTTATGGAGATCAGATGATTTGGAATTCGTTTAGCTGCTTTTCTGAGAGGCATGTAGGCACTAATCCCTTTTTCATTGAATGTGATGTAGCATTGTTATATTTCCTCCAAAGTTTCTCTTTTTATTTTTTGACAACTTTGTATCTTGATTTACTTGTTAGTTTCACTCTAAAATTAATAGACTTTCCTATTTTTTAATTATTCTCTACTCCAAAGACATATCAAAACACACCTTTAAACTCGCACTTTTTTATACTCGCACTTTTTATACTCGTACTTTCTTTTTTTTCTTTTACATTTTAAATTTACATTGAATGTATTACCGGCAGAACTTCTAAAAGATCACAGGATTTACTTATGGAGCACTTTACAATCTATATCACAACAAAAACAAAATACAATATTGTAATATTCTTCACAATTTATATAATAAACATGAGCAACTGTAGCGCCTCATAAGCTAAAGATCCTTGAATCAATGCTACCTCTGGGCAAGTTTTATAACATCGATAAAGAAGGAGGGATAAACTTCTTTTGAAATGCTCTACCCCAGTATTCTATGATAAAGAAATTCCAAAATAAATAAATTCCAAAGAAAAGAACATCAATAAGAAATCCAAACTGGTTATTTTTAGTTTGGGAATATGGCTCTTGGATACTTATACCAACACGAGATCATATTTGTTTTTAGGTTTCAAATTACAAAGATTTATTATATATTTTCATTACATTTAAACGTAAAACATACGTAAAGCTTTCATTTTTTTAAGAAGTGGTGTTGAGTTTAAAAAGCGATTATAAATTAATTGTAAGAGCTGCGCATTTTTGATCTTGATAGAAAGATTTATGTTTGGTTTTGTGAGCGTTTCCCCATATTATATTTACATAATTTAAATGTAAAGTATAAATGAATAATTGATTTAAGCGTTAATTAGTGTTTATTTAGTATATGTCTAACTTTATATATAATGTTTTGCTTTAGTAAACACACTTTAGTTTTTCCTATTTACTTGTGAATAAACATGAGTTTATTCAAAAGAAAATAAAGAAAAGAGACTAAAGTATGAATTGAAGGAGGGAATACGAATTGAAGGAGGGTTAATAGTGAAACTATAGGCAGAGTATAAATATAAGCGGATCGATTCTCACATTGCTAAATATTATATGTTAATGAAATGAGAACTGTCAATGTATACAAATTAAATATATATAAAAATTCTTATTTATATGTGAAAGCATAATTCATAATTTTTAAAGACCTAAATATTTTGAAACCATTAAGCAAGTTTAGCGTGAGAAATAATTGTTACGTAAATGAACCATTCGGTCGAACCAGGTTTAACTATTACTGGTTCTCGTACCAAAAATTTGGTATTGGGTCCTTTGTTTTTTAAAATAACTGATAATGCATTTCCCAACCTAATGATTTGAATAATGAATAAATCATCAAAGTTAATTTCCCTCATAATGTCACTTTCAATTTCAGGTTAATGATTCGTTCTTGAAAATATTTGGTAAGCAGCGTATTGTTGATCAATTACATTATAGAAAACAATCTTTCCGTCGAACAGTTTGTTTTCATTAGCACACGGTAAATACGGAATGCAACCTCCACATTAGGGAACTCATCTTGCATACCTTTCTTGCGTGTAAGTGAATATATGAAATATTATTTCTTCCTCATCAAAAAGAACCTTTACAAACTCTTTTAGTAACAAGAACTCATATTGAAAGCAAGTTGAATCTAAGTCATTCTTGTAAGTTGCCGCAAGCCTGTCTCTAGCTGACTTGACACTCTCAGAATTGAGCTCCACCAACGAAGAGATAAAGCCATAGAAAGATATCATACGATAATAGGTACAAATATTAAGAGAAAATGTAATCAATCACTTAAATGAGGCCAATTAGGTCCAATAAGGAGCCGCGAATAAAAGAGCCAAGTAGTTTGCCGAGCATACTAAATGGCTCTCTTCTGTCTTATAGGACCACCAATATTTTTAAGTGAAATTTAAAACCTTTTGATGAACTTAAATTAGATAGTAAATTTATGGGACGGGTAAACGTTTTGGGGTATTACCTAGGACCCTACTATCGCAACTTTTAGCAAAGTCTCCTCACTTTGCATAGACATGAAAATACTCAAATTTGGAGTTTGCACAGTGCGCGAAAGTTTTTACCAAAAACATCAAAAATCCTGGGGTGCCCATGAGTTCAAAATTTATTATTTTTTTATTTATTTTTACATAATGATCTTGTAAGGGGTTTCTGACGATATAATCGTTGTGATCTTTTTTTAAAAGCCATGTTCTTTTTTAAATAATCGGAAATCGAATAACCGGGAATCGAATGCTTGGTCGCCTCAAAATGACACATTTCGATGCCGAGCCTCCAGCTTTGGAGAAAATTGTTTTGTGTACAAGCCTGATCTCCATATCTTAAATCGGAAAACGACTATAAAAACTATAAAATATAAATTAACTTAACATTGAAAAGTATGTTCAGCAGAAAAATCTTTTGTGTTTTGACAGAAATTCACGTTTTTCTAAATAAATTTAGCAACAGTACTACCTGTTATTTATTCTGGCATACTGAGATCCCTAATAAAAATGTCCCTCGCATTCATCTAAACACTTATGAAAACAAAACCCAAAAATAGTTTAATCCTTTTAGCAATCTAGCAATAGAACTTCGACAATTCTGAGATCTCTAGCATTTTGAAATCCACCTAGCATTCTGACCCTTTCCTGTCCTGTAGTTTGTTTTTACTGAACATTTTATATAAGTGAAAGTGTACATTCTGCATAAATATAATTTTAATAAGTAAATAATTAAATAAATAAACAAAATGTAGATTATACAAACTACGTTATACAAAGTTATTAACTGTTCAGTAGTATAACATTTTTTGTACGCGTTACGTACGGTTCAGAATCATTAAAAGTATTTTGTATTGAAATCAATTATTCTTTTGCTTGAAGTATTATTCTTTGACTTTTTGATGGTTTCTATTTTAAATTCGTTTTTAACATTACTAGATTTTAACCTAAACTGTTATTTCAAACTTAAAAAAAATTCATCAAAAGTATTAAACTTAATAAATATAAAAAAAATCCCGATGAATACCCATATGAACTTCATGAATGTTCATGAAAAGTTTATGAGCAAGCGTAAAACTTCATTAAAATGTGTAAAAACCTTTTGAATACGTGCAGATTAAAAACTTCATCAAAATTAACGTATAAAAAAAACTGTATGAGTGTGTGTAAATTCACGATTCAACATTTATAAATATTTATAATCACAAATATATAGATTAATAATACATTAATATTCAATTTGTTTTTGTTTTGTTATTTACAACGGTTGTTTTGAATATTCTTTACCGAGTTTTAATTTAATTTGCTTTTTACAGGGTCTCTGGGAATTTCTTTAATAGATTAACTAAATATGATAGTGGTCCCGGTTAAACGCAACATATATTTTCGGCAGAAGCCAACAAAAAATGTGTTTACCAAGAAAAGTAAAAGTTTTTGTAATTCACTCGTCCTAAGTATATTACAACCAAAAAGCGCATTAGTATTGCCCCACGACAACTGAGAGAATAAATTGAAAAAAATATCTGTTTTTACTTTCTGCGTACTAATATGTTATTTAAGACTGATTTAAGTTGAGCAAATTGTCGCTTATTTACTTTTAAAAAATTCGTTCCTATTTTATTAGAGCGCAATCAAATTTTTAGGATTTTTAATCTTGACTATAAATTTTACACGACAATAAATGTTTTGAATGCGAACTGTAATCCTGCCATCAAATACCCAAAATGTGTCATGCGTATTCTGATCTGGTTAACTAAACAAAGATTAGAATCCATTTTAAGAATAGCTAGTCTATTTATAAGAAACCTTTCAATTTTTAGAAAAATTAAATGCAAAAAGGATGTATTCACAAATAATAACTCAGCACGTTTTTCTACTTAATTGTTAAATGTTTCTCAAACTCAAAAAAATTAGACGTTTATTTATGGAATTCTTAGTTTAATCATGTAAGAAAAATATTTGAGCGATCAAAATATTAGTAAAACAAAGTTTTAATGTTTCAAGAAAGAAGTTATAAATTAAAAAATTATTCAAAAATAACAGATCATATAATTAGTGAAAGACATTTTATACTTATCACGCATTTATAATAACACTTATATATTCTATTTCTAAATTCGTTTATATTATAGTCTAAATATTCAGAATATTGACTAAATTTTCCATTCTGTTTCTTCATTTGATTAAATAAAAAACTGTTAATAATTGAGTAGAATAAATTATTAACGTTTAATAGTTTTTTCAATTGATTGTATTTTTGAAATGTATTTGTCATACGAGTTTAAATAAAATTCTTGCAAAAATTATCTTTTTTGTAACAAAAAAACTTGTTTTATTTACTGCTTTTTATTGTTGTTTATGTGTAAGTAAATTAAAAAAGAAAAGTATTTGTAGTGGTGTGAATGTAGTCTATTTAAGTAGCAACAAATTTATCTGATAAGACATGTGTTATAATTTTCAAAGAAGAATTACATACAAAAATATGTTTTGATAGTTTTAAAATTTACAGAAAATATCTATGAAATTAATTTTATTTCTTTATTTTGTGAAACTATTAAAGATATTAGTTTAGTAAAGCTATTGAGTTTAAAAAAAAGAATCAATTAAATTATTTCTTTACAAACACTTTCAACATTTAATTTTATCACTTATTTAAAAGTGATAAAGTTAATAATAACTTGCTTTAACTTTAGTCAAAAGTTTTATTAGTTGATTTATTTTATTTTTACAATTTTTGTTCAAATTTTTGCATAAATTTTAATTTCAACTTAACAAATTTTATTTAAATTCTGGAAAAAATGTTACATCTGAAAAAAACAACTTGTTTTGTTGGATTTTATTTCTATTTCTATACAAATTTTTTGACTTTGTTTGTTATATTAAAAAAAAAAAAAAAGAATTTAAGTATTGATGTTTGTTGCTTTTTTATCTTTTTTTTTTCAAAAAACTACTGTTTACAGTATTTAAACAAATTTAATAGATTTTGTTTTAAAATTTTATATTCAGTATCTATGGAATTTATACATCGTAACATTGTTGAGGGTTAATGAGTAAAAAAAAGAATGTATGGAGGTATAATCAAATTATTTTTATTATACAAATATTTTTATCATTTATTTGAAAATTTAATAAATGCAAAGTCACTACCATTAAATAAGAATAGTTTTGAATTATACACATAAAATATTCTCTAAACTTTATTACTTTTATGTTTATTACTTTTATGTTTGTATTGATTCTTTTTGTATTTATAAATATTCCTTTTTTTTATGTGTGTGTGTTTATTTTATGTTTGTATTTTATTAGCTTTACATCTGCATTTATTTCTACATTTAAATTTAAAATCTATTTGATATTAATTCTTTTTTTGTTTGTATGTTTTCTTTTTATGTTTGTATTTGTTCTTTTTATGTCTGTGTTTATACTTGCTGTGTTCGCATTTATTTTTATGTTTGTATGTTTGCATTTATTCTTTTTATGTTTGTATGTTTGCATTTATTCTTTTTATGTTTGTATGTTTGCATTTATTCTTTTTATGTTTGTGTCTGTTCTTTTTTTGTTTTTGTACTTTGTCTTTTTATTTGTGTTTATTCTTTTTATGATTTTATTTATTCTTTTAATATTTGTATTTATTATTTTTATGTTTGTATTTATTATTTTTATGTTTGTATTTATTCTTTTTATGTTTGTATTTATTCTTTTTTGTTTGTATTTATTCTTTTTATGTTTGTATTTATTCTTTTTGTTTATGTTTATTCTTTTTTTGTTTGCAATTATTCTTTTTATTTATATTTGCTATTTATCACTATTCTACTTAATAAATATTTATGTTATTAAAAATAAGTTTCAAAAATTTAATTATTTTTAATGCGGTAATTTAATTTAAAAATGTAACTGTCACACCGTCCACCATAAATTTCTCTGTCAATATTTGTACTCTTTGTTTAAAATTAAAAGTAAAATCAACATTTTGTAAAATAGAGTTTTCTGAAAAAATATTTATAAAGTTATATAGCAAATTATTTTTTCTATTTATTAGGATCTGTTTTTAATTCAAACATATTTTATTCCGTTTATGAAACTTTTGGTAACTAATTTAACCAAGAGTTTCAATTGCCACCTAAATTTAAAACTATTTTTATTTTAACGCTTATTTTAAATGCAAAAATATTTTTTAGCATTTAATAAATCATTATCAATAAATTAAATTGTATGCGTTTTTAAAACGATTTATTTTTTAATGATGCACACATTTAGTGCAATAGGCTAAAATCTTTTTAAATGTAATTGGTTGAGAAGATTTAAGGAGTTTCTTGGAGTAAAAAACTTCAAAAAGTTTTTAACTCTGAAGAATCTAGTTCCTAAGAATCTTGATTCCATTGTATAATTTTTACTGTTTAGTAGATCACAATTATATTTTTGTAACATAAATACATTAAATGATTTTCAAATCAATAATAAATTTTTTTAGCATTTAATAAATAAATCAAAAGAACTTATAACATTAATTGTTATAGATTAGTATCAAATAGATTTTAAATTTATTGTATATTTTATGCCAAATTGAAATTTAGGTACTCAGGTTGCTCGTGGTAACAGTCGCCATAACTCATTTAATACACACAAGAAATCGGGTTCTTTGAGTCAAGTTTATAATGGTTTTCAACAAAGTGAGTTTAGCAGTAGAGATGAAAAGTATGATCCACGTTATTCTTCATTAAAACGCAATGGAAGTTTATTGGCAAAACAAAACCAAAATTCATTTTTTAATCCTATGGGAAACAATTATGATATTGACAATTATTCAGGTAGCATTAAATTGTAAATAATAGTTTATTATACAACAATTTGATTAAATGTTATACATTTAATGCAGTACAACTGGTAAATTTATATGTAGTTATCTTTAATTGTTAAAAAAGATTATTTCTTAAAATTATTAAATAACATGGTTAAATAGGTTCATTATATTAGAATTAGAGCATTCTATATAATGCAGATCAGCCTAGGTCTGAGATCAAAAGTCTCAGAGAAATAAATAAAAAGTAATTTTTTTTATCTAACAATATTGTTCAACTTTTAAAATACAATAAATCTAATTTTTATTTTTATTTACTGACAATTATTCAAAATCATGATTTCACAAAGAAATTCAAGTTTAACTAGTTGAAAATAGTCAGTTTTTTTGACCAAGAATTAAATTTTATTCACATAAAGTATGATGATCTTACAACAGCATTTTTTATGAAAGCATATCCCTGAGTTGTCTGCTAAAATTTAAAAATTAAGTTTTAAAATTCATAATTGTAAACATACAGTAACAAATACAGCTTGTATTTACCAGAGTAAATGTGATAATAGTATACAACAGGTAGCTATTTTTTTAGAGGTCTAATTTCATTTTTTTTAGAACTTTAAATTTTTTTTGGAATTAGACCAAGGAAGTTTATAGCTTTTATAATGTTTTTATTAGCTGAGCAATATTTGTTTAAAAAAAAATCACATAAGCTTTACTAGAATTCAAAAAAAAAAAAAAAAAAAAGGTTTTTTGCTTTTATTTCATAACTACCTCATTTAACCATAATTTATTTTAATGTTTTTGTAAAAAAATGTTGAAAATTTTAAATTATATTGTAGTAACAGTACCTTGAATTTGCCCAATTGTTTTTGAGGGATACAGAAAAATAAAAAGTAACAAATTAAAGAAGGCTGTATTTATAGTTTCATTTTTCTGATAATAATAGTTATTTGCCATTAACCAAATATTGATCAATTGTTTTTGTTTTATGTTTTTTTTTTGAAATATTTGACAATTTTTTTCAACTTTTCAGGTTAAGTAAAGTTTAACTTTTGTTTTAGATAATGGTAGACCTTCATCAAATATAGATTATGGTCGCCCATCTTCAACCATGGATTATAATCGTCCACCTTCAACCATGGATTATGGTCGTCCATCTTCAAGACAAAGTTCATCAGCATCACATCAAAGTTTAGTATCTAGAAATAATTCTATATCACAAAAAAGATCAAATTCTCGACAAAGTAACACAGTGCATAGTGGAGAATATTCTCAACCATATTTTGAAAATAATCCAATAAATGCAAGTAGTTCCAGTCAACAAATGCTTTCAAATACTTCTGAAGCTATTGTAGAAGAAGAAAGAAATAATGCTGATGGTATTTAATTTAATTCATTAAAAATATAATATCTTATTAATAATATTGTTATTACTATTTATTTTAAGATTTATTTCATTTTAAAAAGTATATTATTTAATAAATTATGTTGATTAACAATATTGCCATAACTAAGATATTGTTTTAATTATTGATACTATTTTAACTAATGGTATGTGACAAAGATAAGTCATCTGTCAACAATCTATTGACAACATCATTTAATCTTATTGCAATTAATGATATATTTGTTACTTAAAAATTGTATCTAAGATATAGTTGTTACTGTGTATATTTTTTAATGACATTTTACTGAGCCTAGGTGGATTTTATTTTATATCTGAAAAATGGTTAAGCATTATATTTTGTAAAATAGTTTTGAATCTTATTAGATTTTAATTTGATTCCATTTTATCCCAAAACTCAAGTGTTGTATTACATGTGTCAGCTAAAAAAATATTTACATATTTTTTTAGCTGACACATGTAATACACGTAATAGCATTACGTAAAATGCTTAATACTATTACCTGTATTAATAAACATGTAATAGCTAGAAAAATATTTACATATTTTTTCAGCTGGTTGACTAGTTTTTAATTATATTTGAAAATAATAACCGCAACTGTGATTATTTAAAAGATTTTGAAGTAAATATGGTTTTAAAAATTATTTTAGACAAAAAGAAGCTGTTGAACAATTGTTTTTTGTTTATAAAATGTTTTTAAAATTTTTTGTTTCTTATTAATTTAATATTGTGTAAAGTTCTTTTGACATTTATTTATGAATATAAATTTTGTGTACAAATATCTTATTGGTAATTATGTAAAAAAAATAAACAATAAGTTGTGATTGAATTGATTTATTAAGTGTCAAGACAAATTGTGTTTATTTTGTAAATAAACATTAGAAACCAAGTTTCATGTTTATTAAAATTATTAAAACAAGTTATTTATTAAGATATTAACAAAAAACATTTATTGTTTTACCATTATACTTTCGGTTGAGAGGTTAAAATTAACTCCATAAATCTGCATTGTTTTTTGTTGTAAAAATATCTGGTTTCAATAATAAATGTATCTACCACAGAGTTTTTTAAACAATTTACACTATTCTTAAATTGATTGGGTTTTCCCCTTTTATAAAAAACAAACATTTTTACTACATTAAGCATTTTAGTTCAACTGGAGACTTTTGACAAAATAAAAAGTGTAATTAAACGAACAATTATCACTTTTCTACTTTTATTTGTTTTATTTTTATTTCCATTAAAATTTTTTGTTTTTATTTACCATGAAATCAAATTTATTCGTAATATTTCTAACGAAATCCACACACAAAAAAAAGTATTTTTGGTTTTTAGATTTTATTAGCAAAACATGTTTCTAACCAATATCATGATAATTTTTAAAATTAGATATCTTATATTTATAGTTTTAACATAAGTTTTATTTTTAAAATTAAATAAATATAAGTGAGACTTTTAAAGCGTTACTTGTTGGTCATGTTATTTTTATTCAGTTATTATACGTTTTATAAAAGGTTATATATAAAGGCATTCCTCTACATGAAAATTAATTGCAAAAGGGAAAACTCAAACATAATGTTTATAACTTGAATTATAAAGTTATTTGGATGAACTTTTTTATATTGATGTTTTTTATTAACTACAAAAGCGCATTAACCAGATCAGTATTTAAAAAAAAAAAAAGTTTTTTTGCTAAAATCTTGATCAGTAATTTGTTTTGGAAAGTTTAATTAACATGAAACTTATTTTTTAAGGTTTATTTAGGATATGAACGCAACTTGTGTTTGGACTAAGGGATCACTTTAAGAATAAGATTGGTTTAATAAATAAATTGTAGAGAATCGAAATCTATTTCAAATACCGAACTTAGATGGATGGATACAGTTAACAGTTTACAACTAAGTATTGACAGTTTTTTAAACTGTTTAGAATACTTAAAACTTGTCACTTGACAAAAATTAGGTACTTTTATATTCTGAAATAATGTTCTTTTTAAAGTACCAATAATATCTTCATTTCTAACATTCATTAACCAAAAAACAAAAAAGTTTTTTTAATCATTAACATAGCAAATAATTTGTTTTAATTGTAAAATTATTGACTAATAAATAATAATCAAAAAGTCAAAATAATAAATTTGACAACAGACATGATATTTACAAACATTTGAGATGTAAACATTGAGGTTTACATCTCAAATGTGGTTTTACAACTCAATGTGGTTTGAGGTTTACAACTCAATGTGGTTTGCGGTTTACACCTGAATGAGGTTTACACCTCAATGTTTACACCTCAGACACAATCTTTTTGTAGAAGCTATTTTATAGATAAATTATAAGTGTAATATATTTTGTAATTTTAAATTTATATACAGTTGGAGAAATAAGTATCCGAACAAAACATTTTATTATGGAAAATAAACTTTGTCAGGTTATTTCAGAAAAAAATAACTTAATAAAAATAAAAATAAAAAGATTATTCTGAAAGAAAATTTGATTACGAATTCAATATGCAAAAAAAATATATCAATAATAATATTTAATTGAAAAAAAATTAAGCTACATTTAAACTATGCAATTTTTTAGCATTAAATAAGTATCCAAACAAAATTTTAAAGATTAAAGCTTAAAGATTAATGCTTTACCGAGTAATTATTTTTATAACTTTTTAATATTGAGTTGGACTGCCTTTAGCTTTTAAGACTTCTGCAAGTCAACATGGCATCGATTCAACTAATTTCTTTGTTGTATCTGAGTCGATATCAGCCCAAGCTTCTTGGAACATGATCTTTAGCTCTTCTTTTCTTTTTAGACATCGTGTGCCACATTTTTTATCCAGAATAGCCCAGAAATGTTTAATTGGATTGAGATCTGGACTTTACGCTGCCAATTCAAGCAACTCAATTTGCTTTTGGATAAAAAACGCTTTTGCTTTCTTTGACGTATGTTTAGGGTTATTGTCTTGTTGGAAGGTAAAATGTTTTCCTTTTCGCAATTTTTTAGTTAAGCCAGAAGATTTTTATTGAGAATGTTAATATAAACCTCAGTCCATAATTCCATCAATAAACTACAGTTTTCCTGTTCTGTTCTAAGCCATCGCTCCCCATACTGTAACATTGCTTCCACTAAATTTTACTGTGCCTTGAATACAACCGAGTGTAAATGCTTTACCATTTTTTCTCCATACTTTTTGAGCTCCATCGGACTTCACAAGACTAATTATTGACTCGTCCATCCACAAAACCTTTCTCCAGTATGATACCAACATATTTACATATTTTTTAGCAAATCCAAGTCTTCACTTTTGATGGATTTTTGAAAGGAATGGTTTCTTTTGTGAAACTCTTGCTTTAAATCCACTTTCTTTCAATCGATTTCAAATAGTACATGAGCTCACTTGTAACCTAAAATCTTCCTCAAGAAGGCTTGACACTTTTGGTGATGATAAAAAGCGGATTTTTGCACCATCTTGATAATTTGTTGATCTATTCTTGATGTTGTTTTACGCTTATCTCCGGATCTTGGCTGATTTTGCACAAATCCAAACATATTATACTTTTTAATCAGATCGCTGATGGATTCTAATTCCATTTCAGCCGCTTTATTTATCGACCCAAATGTTTTACCTTGCTTGAACAAGTCAATAACCAAATTGCGCTGAATTTGGGACCATTCCTTGATTTTAACTCCCATATTTGATGATCAAATCAAATCAAATGAATTTAAAAAAGTATCAGTCAATTGTTAAAAATTACTCATTGTAAAACAGCATTTCTAAAACTATTGATTTAAAAACTTTTTTTAATAATCAATTTCAAAACTTTGTTTACAAAACAGCATGTCCGGATAATTATTTTTCATTGAATTTTTAACACTACTTTGGGAATCGTTAAATTTTAGCAATGCAAGTTAATTAACGTTGATTAATTTTTTGCTATATAAAATTGTGATTAAATTTGCTTCTAGAATAATTATAAAAGTATTTATCAAAAACATATGTTTTTCTGAAATAACCTGACAAAGTTTATTTTTCACAATAAAATGTTTTTTGTTCGGATACTTATTTCTCTAAATAAAAAAAAAGCGATGTAAATAAATAAATATTAAATAAAAAAAATAGTAAATAAGTTATTCCTTTTGCATGATTACTTTGTGAATATGCTTTTATGTAAATTAATCATTTATTTGCAGTTTCTTATTTTTGGATTTGTTGTTTTATTATTGTGTACCAGCAAAATTAGTTTATTAACATTATTTTTAATTACCTTAATAAAAATAAAAAATATAAAAAAGCCATAAAAATGGCTTGAAGAAAGCCTTGTTAACTTATTAAATTTAATATGATATTATTTCATGTCTTGAATTTTATTTAAGTATAACATTATATGAAGATTTTTGTATATTACCTAACTTTGGATAATTATTAGTAAAAATGTAAACAAATATTTTTTTAAAAATAAGAATAAATATGAAAAAAAAGGTTTTAATTTTAATAACAGCATAATAATAACTCTGAAAAATCTAAACCAGAGAACAAGTGATGACAATTAAAAATAAAGTTTTGTTTTTAAATTGTTGATTTCATTGTAAGTTATATTTTTTTTAATTTTCAAATGATATGAGTTTTAATTTTTTCATCTTAAAAAATTAATTTCAATCAACTTTATTTATTTCTTCATTATTTTTTATACAACTAAAATAAATCATATTAACCTTTTGATTAAATTGCTCTTTAAAGTGATGCATATATAACTTTAGTTAAAGTAAAATAAGCAACTTTTTAGAAAAAATTTTATAAACTTTTTTAAATTTTTTTTATTGATTTAAGTCTTCTTTAGTAAAATAGTTTAAGCATCAATAAAATTGTTGAATAACTTATATAGCCAACAGGGCGCGACAAATTGCTTTTTTTTAATAAACGTTGACGTTCGTTTCTTTTCCATGCAATAATAAGTTGAATCTGAAGAAGAACAAGATGAAAGACCAATTTTCGCTAAACGCTAAGAATCTACCTGATATAGGGTTGTTTTTTTTTTTACCTTCTGGAAATTTTAAACTATCACTTAACTAGTGAGTCATTCCGTGTCCAACCAACCCCAAAAAATTTTCTTTGGCATTTTGATGGTTTTTGGAATACAAGCTCATATTAATGAAAGAAGACTTAACTTCAAATTTTAGTGTCTGACACTTTATGGTTTCAGAGATATCAATGCTCAATTCCAATCTCTTTTTTGATTATTTTTTTCAGCGCCATTTACTTTTTAAGCTAATTGCATAACACAATTACCTTTAACTTATGAATTACTTAGTAGATAGTATTGAAAATTTGTACTTAACTATTTTTTAAGGAGAGGAACTTAAAACTGATAACTAAAACACTAAAAAGTTAAGCTTTTTTATGAAAATTTAATTTCAAAATGGTGTAACACTTTTTATAAATTTTTTATGCCCCGTACAAAAAAGTATATCTTGAGATGCCTAAAAGATATGATTCTGAAAATATTTCCCATGGTTTTATATATAACAAGTTCCTTATTACAAAAAAACTGCAGAGGTTTTCTTTTTTGAATCTGATTTATTTGGATTGAAAGTTTTATAAAAAAACTAAAAAAAAATTGTTATTTATTAATGAAAATAAAGTTATATTTATTTTTTGCATTTTTTAAAAAAGATTTTAGAATCTCAGGTACAGTTCTAATATATAAACTTGTTTGTATTTCACATTAAAGATCTTCGCTTTATACATTTGTATACTTGTTCAGTCTTTTTATAAATGATGTGCAACTTATGTGACAGTTTTGTTTATATATATATATATATATATATATATATATATATATATATATATATATATATATATATATATATATATATATATATATATATATATAAACTTAAATATAAATTACCTTAGCGCAAATCACCAAATTATAAACATCGTCTTGCAAGTTTTATTTTATTTTGAAAAAATGTTTTAATCGCTATATAAAGTAGTTAGTTTTATAGTATTATATATAATAGTAGAATTAAATAGAATATAATTGTATGAAATATACTTTTTCTAGGTTCAACTGTTTTAGTCAGACGAAAAATTACTACTGTTGTTTCTGATAATGATGCCTCCAAAGTTGAATTTCATATAAGCCCTGCAGCAGAGACAATTTTTCTACCTCCAAGAACAAGTCGAAATAATTCTTTTGATTATGTCAAAATGTCTTCAGATGAAGGAAGTACAAATCAACTACCATACAGGGATAATTTTAGTAATTGTATTTTTTCTTCTGGTTTCTTTCTTTTTGTAAATAAAAAGTATATATATATATATATATATATATATATATATATATATATATATATATATATATATATATATATATATATATATATATATATATATATATTATATATATATATATTATATATATATATATTATATATATATATATATATCTATATATATATATATATATATATATATATATATATATATATATATATATATATATATATATATATCTATATATATTTTATATATATATATATATATATATATTATATATATATATATATATATTATATATATATATATATATATATATATATATATATATATATATATATATATATATATATATATATATATATATATATATATATATATATATATATATATATATATATATATATATATATATATATATATATATATATATATATATATATATATATATATATATATATATATACAGGCCTCGGTGGGAATAAATGAGCACGAGAGCAGAGAAAAGCTCTCCTAAAATATATATATATATATATGTGTGTGTGTGTATATATATATATATATATATATATATATATATATATATATATATATATATATATATATATATATATATATAATGGATAAAATGTGTCTAAGGATGCAATTTCCTAATGTAGTCAAATCCAAAAGAAAAAAAAGATTACTCTGTTTTGGACTGGCATCAGATCAGCAAAAAATTTTAAAAAGTAAAAACCAAAACTCAAAATAATAAAAAACTTGCATGTCTTCCTGATAATCATACCTCTAAAGTATTTGCTGCTGATAAATTTTTAAAAAATAATTACTTTTTAAACATCTTGAAAAGTATAAAAAGTTTTTGTTGCTAATGAAAAACATAGTTTTATATTCGGGTGGTGCTTAAAACTAATTAGTCATCTGTTCCAGAATTTTGTTCTAGTAGTATTTTGTACTAGTAATTTGTTTCAATAATTTATTGAAGTATTTTTTCCAGTAATTTTTTTCAGTAATTGCAGTATTTTGTTGCAATAGCTTGTTCCAATAATTTATTTAGTAGTTCATTCAAGTAATTTTTTTTCTAAAAATATTGATTTAAAAACTTTTTTTAATAATCAATTTCAAAACTTCGTTTACAAAACAACATGTTGCAAAATTTACCAGACCTGCTTCCTCTTAGTGAAACCAATTTAAAATCAGCTATTTTATCTTTGGATCTGTTGATTACTACTCTTGCTGAGAAATAAAAAAAAAGATTTTTTTATTTATTAATCTTTTACCTTAATAACTCATTTTTCAGACTACCCTAATTAGTACCTAGTAATCTAATTAGTACCTTCACTACTCTGACCCTTGCTTGTGCTCAGTTTCTTCTTGTTTTCCTTCAGGTGTTTTAGATTACTATAATCACCTTAAAACATCAAAAGCAACAAAATGTGTTGTTATCGACTTAATAAATCAAATAAAAGTTGACTAGTCGAAAGTTGAAATTAGTTGACTTTAAAAAATCTATTAGTCGATTTAATTGACTATGGATTTTCCACTAATCGACTAAAAGTCAATTTTTTCAAATAACAATTTAAAATCTTTTTATTTAATTTAATTTTTTCAATCTTTTATTTTTGTTTAGCCATTTAATAACAATAGCAGGTACTATTATAACTTGTACATGCTTTTTTTTTACTTTTTGTTATCTTAAAGCTTTATCCTATTCACTTAGCACTATTAATACCTAATTGAATTTTCATTTATGTATTTCATTAAATTTTTATTTTGTTTACTCTATGCTTGTGATTTTCATAAATATATATAGTATACAAAAATATATCATACAGGACTGTTCCAAGCTGACTCAGGGCTCTGCTGAATAATTGTAAAGCTCCAAAATCTAAATATCATCTATACAATCACATTGTAAATATGATTGTATAGACTTTTTGATATTTAGCAAGTATTCAAGATGGTAAAAATTATTGGATCTTAGGAATAAATTCTCCGGTTGTTGGAGTGGCCCTGCTCTCATATTGTTTTGTTCCATTAATATTTAAATGGTATGATGTTAAAAAATAAAAAGCTTCAAAAAAATTGTTAAATTGTTTAATGGTGCTTAGGTCTAAAATAAGTTTAATGGTGCTTGAGTCTTTTAGTCTTTTGCTTAGGTTGCTAAATCTCATAATTTATCTCAGAAATTAGGTACTAGGGACCGTAAGAAAATCATGCTGAAACTGAAAATTGAAACTGAAAAAAATCATATATTCAAACCATGCAAAACTCAACATCTACTAACGTTGCCTCTCTTTATCTTACTTGCCATTTTCTTACTCCCAATTCCATTCTCAACCTCTATAATTCTTTATTTATCCTTGTATAAAATACAGTTGCATTATTTAATTATTTTCATAATTAGTTCTTTTATGAGCCTCTCTTTTAGGCATCTCACACGAGTCATCATTATGCTTAGTCTTATCCTATTACTGTAAATATTGATTTAAATAATTTTTGTTCATCTAGTTTTTTTTTGTTTTCGAACATTTGTTCTTTAGAATTCTCTCTCTTCTTTATGTTTTCCTGACTCATACAGTTTGCAGTTTTTTAATTCTTTTTTAACTTTCTTGTATTTTAGCTCTTTTTTTTTTGCTTTCTGTTTTCTTCCTGGCTCAATTAAATTTAATTAGTGATTGCTTGCAACCTTATTAGAAGTGACCCATTTAGAAATTTTTTATTGGTTTTACAAGCTTCAAATTTATCCTCATCTCAATATTTTGTATTTATAAGTAATTAGTTTTAAATTGTTTATAATTAGCTTTTAAAAGCTTTATACCTATTAAAAGCTTCTATTCTTAAAAGCTTTTAAAACTTATAATTAATTCAACTTTGTTAAAAAAAATCATAAAGAATTAAAAAAAAAATTAAGCTTTTAATTTTATTTTTTACTAGGAAAACAAGGAAATAATTTCTGTTTTAAAATATGTTTTAAAATATTCATGCCATTAGGAATTTATTTAAGACTAGACTTTTTATGCAATATAGCATTATTTGTTAGCAAGTTTCCTCCTTATGCAAGACATGTATATTGTTAATTTGTTTATGAAGGCGTATGAAGCATGAGAAGCATTATTTTAAAAATGATTATGCTAATGCAATAAGAATCAATTTTTTATTTTCAGTCAATACTTAAAAGTTTAAAAATTGTTACTTTGTAGCTTGCATGTAATTTTATCCCAAAAAAAAAAAGTTTTTGTTTTAGAGATTATTTTTTAAGATATTAAATATAACATATAAATGGGTACCAGACCCCCAAAATATTTTTTAAGATATTAACTATAACATATAAATGAGTACCAGACCCCCAAATATTTTTTAAGATAGTAACTATAACATATAAATGGGTAACAGACCACCAAATATTTTTTTAAGATATTAACTATAACATATAAATGGGTAACAGACCACCAAATATTTTTTAAGATATTAACTATAACATATAAATGGGTACCAGACCACTAAATATTTTTTAAGATATTAACTATAACATATAAATGGGTACCAGACCACTAAATATTTTTTAAGATATTAACTATAACATATAAATGGGTACCAGACCACCATATATCAAAAATGATTTAAGTGAGGCTAAGCTGTTAATCACAGTTTAACTTTAAATTATTACAAATATATCTTAGTTTAAAATTTGTATATTAAATATTAAAGTTTAAAAAAAATTTTTTTTCTTTTTTGTAAACTTAATGTGGTAGAACACTCTGTTCGGAAAATTTTTTTAAAAAAGTTTCGAGCTTTAAATTTACCCTATATTTTTGAAAGAACCGCGCTCAACTTGTTTTTCAACTGTGCAACAACCGTGTTTAACAAGGTTTCTTTCTTCGTGCAGCAACCTTGTTTAACAATGTTTGTTTCCCCATGCAGCAGTCCTGTTTAACAAGGTTTGTCTCTCCATGCAACAACCTTGTTTAACAAGGTTTGTTTCCCCGTGCAGCTGCCTTGTTTAACAAGGTTTGTGTTTTATAGTTTAGGCTGAGAGAGAGTAAATAAGTAAAAATTTAGTTTAAGGATGAGAGAGAGTAAATAAATAAACCTAATCTATTAAAATAACTGCCTAATATTTTCCTAATTTGTTTTATAGACAACGACAAAGATGATAGAAATTACATCAAAGAAGACACAAATTATGATCGAGATAATAGAAGTGACAGAGATGATAGAAATTATGACGGAGATAATAGAAATTACAACAGAAATGATAGAAATTATAACATAGATGACAGAAATTATGACAGAGGTAATAGAAATTATGACAGAGATAATAGAAATAACAAAAGAGATGATAGAAATAATGACAGAGATGATAGAAATTATGACAGAGATAATATAAATTATGACAGGGATGATAGAAATTATGACAGAGATGATAGAAATTATGACAGAGATGATAGAAATTATGACAGAGATGATAGAAATTATGACAGAAATAAGAGAAATTCATATGGGAGTTCTGCAAGAGTCAATGACAAAGTTTACTCAAAAGAATTGAACAATCAAGTCAATGAAAATCAATCAAACAATGATATTAGACAGAACAGTCAAAATTATTTTGAAAAGTCAGAAGCAGTTAAAAATCAGGCAAAGTATAGCAATGCAGAAAACTATTCAAGCAACTATGCAGCCAATGAAGAGTATAGTTCTTTAAAAAAACAAAGTATTGTTCATGATAGTGAAATAAGAAGATTTAGCTCCAATAATGAAAGTTTATCTCAAAACTTATATTCAGATAACAGAAAATATCTTAGTAATACAAATATAAATATTATTAACTCAAATCATGTAAACAATGCTAATAATTATGGAAGTTATGCAAATAATATTGGTTTTGGCAATAACAATAGTAACATTCTTTCTAATAGTGCTAGCAATTCTAATATTAATGCCAATAAAGTTAATTCAAGTAATCAGCAGATTTTTAATCATATTGCTTCAAGTAACCAACAAATTTTTAATAACAAAGAGAACATTCACAATTCTAACTTAACAATTAACAATCAGTTTTCCCATTCAAATAGAGACTTCAATCAAATGGAGAATTCAGCCAGAATTAATTATCATGGTAAATATAAATTTAAGTAATTCACAGATATTTTTTACATTTTGCATTAAATTTGCTTTTACACTTAATTTCGTTAATGTAGTTTGTTTAATTTTATAAGTCTATCATATTCTTGTTAGGGAAAGTGAACCTTTGCAGTTTCCACTTTCCTATTGGTTGTATTATTGTTTACAGAGATTGTTATCAATTTATAAATATTAATATTTGCCATGAATACTATTAGTCTGTCTGCAGATTGGCAGACAAATTGCCAGCTTCTCAGCTGATCTGTTCTGTCAGTTGTAATAAAAATAATTTATGAAAAGTATTTTACTTATAGAAACAAAATATAATGAAGAAAGCATTAATCTCCTTGATCTTCTCAATTTTTTGAAGGCAAATGACCAAAGTTTAAAATCACAGGCTGCAGGATATTTGATGCATCTTTCTTACAAGGACGAAGAGATCAAAAAAAGAATACGGTATTCAATAAAATTTTTTTAACTATTTGAAATTTTTAGACATATTTGTTTTCATTATTGTAGGCCTTGTTTTAAAGTGTTATACAGTACATGTTTTATGTTAAAAACTTGCATTTACATATATGTATGCTATTTATGTTACATATGAGTGGGTCAGAAGCCAAGGGGTACAAGTGACATTTTCATAGTTTTGAGATACAGCTGTTTAAAGTTAAAGTATTTTTGTTAAATATACTCAGCTGTTGTTATGTTTTTCCAGAAGAAAGCAGCACAGGGCAGAGATTCACTTGTATCCCTTAGCCACCAACAATTTTGTTTGCTTCTTCTATCAAATTCTATACTTAACTTAATTTTGGTAAAATTGTCACTTGTATCCCTTGGCTTCTGACCCACTCATATATGTATGCTATTTATGTTGCATATATGTATGCTATTTATGTTACATATATGTATGCTATTTATGTTACATATATGTATGCTATTTATGTTGCATATATGTATGCTATTTATGTTACATATATGTATGCTATTTATGTTGCATATATGTATGCTATTTATGTTACATATATGTATGCTATTTATGTTACATATATGTATGCTATTTATGTTGCATATATGTATGCTTTTTAGGTTACATATATGTATGCTATTTAGGTTACATATATGTATGCTATTTAGGTTACATATATGTATGCTATTTAGGTTACATATATGTATGCTATTTAGGTTACATATATGTATGCTATTTAGGTTACACCAAAAACTATTTTGTTTTAAAGTGTTTTAAACAGTTTGATAAATGTTTTTCAAAAAGCATACATTGTTACAGAAGTTTAGATGACAATTATGTAAAATATACTTGTTTTACATAATTTATTATAAAAAAAATTAATTTAGACAAAATTAAAAGAAAAAAAGATTAATTTTTATTAAGCAAATCTTTTTATTTGAAATATTCAGTAATAAAAGAGAAATTTGTTGATATTTTAAATATGAAATTAATACAGGAAGCATGAGTTTCATGTTAAAAAAATAAAATTAATTTCTATTTAGCAACTTAATTTAATATTAACTTATAATAATTAAAAATTGTTGGGTTTTTGTTATGAAATTGCCCAGTTCATGGAATGCATTTACACTAACTGTGAAATAGTCCAGTTTATGGAGTGGTTCCAGTTTATGGAATGTTTTTCCAATGATTGTGAAATAAAGAAATATTTTGATTTTACTTTGTGATTTATATTGAAATAAATTAAGAATAAATTATTTAAAAAAGCTATAAATAAATAGTAAAATTTTAATCAAAATACACACTATAAATAAAGTAAGCATAAAATATATATATAAAAAAAATTTGTAACCTATTTTTGAAAACCTTCAATCTCAAGTTAAATTTTTATATTCAAAAATGTTGTAAAACTTAAAATATTTTTGTTCACCACTGTTATATGATTTTATTTATTTAGATGTGAAAGTAAAATAAAAAACTCTAATTTTTTTTTGCTTTTTTTATTTAAACCTTTTATACCTTTTCATTTTGTTTTGCTAGAAATGAAGTTCTTTGTAAATGTGTTCTAATTGTATGAATACTTGTTCAAACTGTTTTAATATTGTTTCAATAACACATGTGTAAGCACATTTTAACTATCTTGTAAAAACATTTAAATGGATTATACTTGCAAACCTAAATAAATCTGTGCATGTGTCACAACAAATTTTCTCATAAAATAACTTTATATCTCACGTATTCCTCATAATAACATGAGACATGAAAGTTATAATAAAAATTAACTAAATATTTTTTGCAAAAATTAATGTTGTTTAAAAAAAAAATTTTAATTTATAATAATATAATAATTTTTAAAATATATGTTGCTGTTCAATAGTGTTTAATTAGTATATATAAGTTAATTATATCATTAAAATATGTGCATACGTAAAAATATACATATATATTCTTTGTTTTTTCCTTCTTCTAAAAAAAAAGGGATTTAAGTCTGCAAAATAAATCAGCAAACATATCTATATAATAAGATGTACATCTGTATATACATATGTATATGTATATATATATATATATATATATATATATATATATATATATATATATATATATATATATATATATATATATATATATATATACACACACACACACATATATATATATGTGTGTATATATATATATATATATATATATATATATATATATATATATATATATATATATATATATATATATATATATATATAGTATTGCGTACTAAGGTAAGCAATCTGACGTCATACTGAAATAGCCTGCTGCTGGGGGCTTCAGTACATACATCGACTGACAAATAGCCTGACTCGCAGTGGAGTGCTGCTACATCGACTGAGGGTTTGGGATGGGGAAGCAATCGTTTCATTCATCATTCTTCGTTTTTTCTTCTTCTTTTTTGAAAAAAACAGTATAGCTTAAGGTAAGCAGATAAAGTGAGCAAATGCTTATCAAAACACGCTTTGGTAAGTGTGTTTATATATATATATATATATATATATATATATATATCAACCTGAGATAATCAATTCCGAGAGTTGATATATATATATATTAACTATATATATATATATATATATAATATATATATATATATATATATATATATATATATATATATATATATATATATATATATATATATATATATATATATATATATATATCAACTTTATATATATATATATATATATCAACTTTATATATATATATATATATATATATATATATTTATATATATATAAAGCGAAATTGGAAGGATTTCAGGTGCCAACCATAGCCGACATCAGGTCGGCAAAAAAAAAAAGGATTTTTTGCTTTCTGTTATGATTAGGGTAATGATTAATTGATTATAAAAAGATTGCTTTATAATAGCATAGCTTCAGACAATAATATTTTAAAGAGTGTAGCAATTAAATTTTGTTTAGTAAATTAAGTTTATAGCAAATTTATGAATAAGTGAATTTTAGTTTTGAAGTTATTTTTTATTACAAAAAAAATGGTCATAGTTTATTTATTACATTTTGATTGGTTTTTTAGATTTCTTATAGAAAGAACATCGTTTAGAAATACAAATTTAGTTTATGTGCTCTAGACGTAAATTTTGTTTAAAACGGCAAATTGTTTAACAAAATGAGTAGACAGTAAACATCCGGTTGTTTAACCTTTACAAGAAATTAGCATTTATTTCTCCATTAGTAGGGGTGGTGATTTTCAATTTGTAACTAATGTTTCTTCTCCGCATGTTTTTAACGTAACTATAACAGGCTAAACTTTCCTAATATACTTTCTGATCTTAAATAATTGTAAAAAAACTGTAAACATTTAAATTATTTAATGGTTTTAAGTAAAAAAAAATTAAAATTAGATTTTATATCTTAATAAAGTAATAATTGCACTTAAAAAGCATGAGAACAACAGGCATTTAAAAAGTAATATTTTTTAACTTTGCTATGCTTGAATAAATTAGAGAAAAAAAGAAAAAATGAATTGAAAAAAAACTAATGAATATTTGTTTTAGTATGTCAAACTTAAAAAGCAAGTAATTACAATAAAAAATTTATAAAATAATATTTAAAGAATATTAGATATTTTTTACATGTATTTCAGTTTGCATGCCGACACTTTAGAATATTCAGGTTGGCAGTTGTATGCCGTCCTAATGCAAAGATAGGTCAGCTTTTTCGTCGGCATTGCCGAATGCCGATCTGAATTTCCCTGACTGTATATATATTGATATATATATATTTATATCACAGTGTTATAAAATAGGTTCTAACCTTAACTTTCTGACCCGGGAAAACCCTTTGGCGGAATGATAGCCCTTACTATGGGGATCACTTAGATATAAGTATCAAAATCAGATTACAACGTCCTGGCAAGTTATTTACATTTGAATTTTCATCCTAGTTAACACAAAACGTTTTTTAAACGTTTAATATACGTATTGATATGTATTAAAATGTATTATAAACGTGTTAAACACGTCTTGCGTTTAATAAAATACTTTATTGATTGCACAAATATGGAATATGAGCGCTTATTTTCCTTTTTGTAGTATTAAAAATCTCCAATTTACATAAATATAAACAAGGAAAGCAAAATAATATATTCTTGAAGTTATACAAGTAACAAACATAAAATATATTCAGAAAAAAAGTTTCTTTTAAATGGAACAAATTCAAAAACAACTTATTCTCAAATCCCTTCTTAAAATGACTTTTCACAAACAATGTTTAGTATTGAAGTCAACAATGCAACATTGCAACTTCTTACTGTATTCTGGATGATGATTGGGTCTTTTGTACCTTTGCCAATGTATCTGAAAGTTGTGATGCATTGCTTCTGTTGCCTGTTCTGAGTAAAGCCCAAGAGCCTGGCCATATCTGTCGATGAAATCTTTTACATGAAAAAATACTGCATGGACCTTGGGTGTTACAGACACATTTTGCAATGCCAGATAAGACACTCTGAATGCTTCAAATTATTTGTGGGTAGTTTGGATTAAGGTTGCACCCAAAACAGCCAGATACTACCGCATTGAATTTTCGAAAAGCATCAATGAATGGGATGGCTGCATAGCATGAGTGTTTCTCAGCAATTGATTGAAGAATATCAATATTGTGTAGCAGCTTTCTGGACTCATTTCCTGCAAAATGTTCACCATGGTAAGGTTGTTGTTTAATGTGTAATGCATCAGACCAAAGAGTTACTCGAGGAAAAACTTGAAGCAGCGCAGCAAAAAGATGATTAAAAACTCCAATTAAGAGATGCAATTCCATGGGAGGAAGAAAATTCAAAACCAAAGTGTCTCCAGGTAGTTTAAATATTGGAGAATGAACAACATTTTTATAGTCACGAGCTTTTCTAATATTGGAACCAGCTGACTTGAAGAGTGAGACATTTTTTTCCAGAGATTCAAAAGTCCTCAATTTCCCTTGATTTACAAGTTCTTTTGAACCAGATTCACACCAGGTGCAGGGATGTGCAATTGAGTGTGCTTGAAGCCCACAAATTATATTAGCAAGTTTTAGATCACAGGACATGACAAATTCCTGGTCTTTCAATTTAATCAACTCAAATACTTGCAAAACGTTAGTATAACTTTCTTGAAGCTCCTCACAGACAGCAATGACTAGTTGTTGTTTTACACCAGTGTCCTTAAAAACCTTGCTTGTGCAGTTGATTTTTGCTGGGGGAATGCAAGGTTCATGATTTAATTCAATAACTCCCAGGGTAACTTTCAGAAACCCACCTCCTCCGTCAATTCCAACCTTTACAATGTGATTTTTTGATGTACTTCTCATGGCTATAATTTCATTTTTAAGCTCATGGAAGTTCTTGCAATGTATGACTGTCCTCACACATCCAGCGTGATCTTGAATTAATGAACTTGTGAAATGATGTACAAGTTGCTTGCTGAATTTGTCAAATTTTATGGCGTAATTTTTTTCAACAATCTGTTGTGAGGTTGACTGATTAATAGTAGCTGCTAACCTCTTAATGCCATTGTTTGAAAGCCCTGTGTTTGCTTGAACTTTAGCAAGGTCTTTTAGCAAGGTCTTATTGATGAATTTGAAGAGAAAAGTTGTCTAGCTGATGACGAACCTATAGTGAATACAAAAAGTTAAAAATTTAACTTATCATTAATTTGAACTATAAAAAACTATATAAAATTTATACTTGGTGTTACTGGAAGCATTCTTCCACCATAAAGTTGACTTAATCGAACAGTTCCATGTGGAGAAGGAGCTTTATTTGAAACAACAAGAGCTGCAATTCTTTCTGATGCCAAAGGATCCTTTGTTACTACAGCAACAAGATTATTTCTCAAAGTGCCTTTTGTGCAGTTGTGAGGCAATCCTCGACCAATAATTGAAAAACAGTCTGAGCATCTTTTTTCTACTGTTAAAGAAGGTGTTCTAGTTGCTGAACTTTGTGCGAATTCAATTTTCATTTGACCATTGTGTCTCAGTTTACCAATTGAACAGATCAAGCAGTTACAGTGAGAGTCTCGAGTTTCTGGTCGAAGTTTTATAGTCTCAAACTTATACAATGATGGGAGTGTGATGTCTTCTCCACTTTCCTTCCTTCTTAAACAAGAGCGACATTTTTCACATATTCCAAGTGGAACTTTGTCATCATTAAAGTTGATTTTCTCTTTCAGTATAATCTGACATCTTTCTTTTAGATTTGATGTTAGCTTTCGTTGACTTTTACTAAAACAAAGAAAACAAACAGATTTCCTGCATTCTTGGTGGTTTTTAGCAGTATTTGGCATTTTCGGTAAAATTAGATGTGCTCAGTTTAGCTCTCATTAGTAAAGTAAAAACAACGTGCTTTTACCCAGAATTCAAAAGTAGAAATTTATTCCAAAATAATTTATGTCATAATTAAATACGTTTCATATCAATTAAAGCAGTTTTTACAAACTAATCATAGTTTTGGTATGTAGAAATGCAAAATAAGCTGTCATTCCGCATGTTTGTGCAATCAATATATTTTATGTTTGTTACTTGTATACCTTCAAGAATATATTATTTTGCTTTCCTTGTTTATATTTATGTAAATTGGAGATTTTTAATACTACAAAAAGGAAAATAAGCGCTCATATTGCATATTTGTGCAATCAATAAAGTATTTTATTAAACGCAAGACGTGTTTAACACGTTTATAATACGTTTTAATACGTATCAACACGTATATTAAACGTTTAAAACACGTTTTGTGTTAACTAGGATGAAAATTCAAATGTAAATAACTTGCCAGGACGTTGTAATCTGATTTTGATACTTATATCTAAGTGATCCCCATAGTAAGGGCTATCATTCCGCCAAAGGGTTTTCCCGGGTCAGAAAGTTAAGGTTAGAACCTATTTTATAACACTGTGATATATATATATACATATATATATTTTTTTTTTTTTTTTTTTTTTATTTATTCACCTACCCAAGGCCCGAGGGGGCCACTACAGTGGAGGAGGCTACTCATTTTTTTTTTTTTGTAAATTGTGGTACAACCCTCTCTCAACTCTTTAACTCCGAAACACGAACCGTGACAAGCAAGACTGCTGCGCGGAGAAATTAAGTTGAGCGCGGTACTTCCAGGGACGTGGTGGGAGTCGAACTCAGAACCGCTCGCTTACAAAGCGAGCGCTCTTACCACTACACCACTACCGCATATATATATATATATATATATATATATATATATATATATATATATATATATATATATATATATATATATATATATATATATATATAATATGATATACATATAATTTATGTAGATATATAATATCTAATAGAACATATATAGATAAACACATGTGCTTGTGTGTGATATGTGTTCTTGTGCGTGTGTTTGTGCGTGCATATCTTGATAATCTATAATATAACTTTCAATAAAACTTTGTATTTATAAAAAGTTTGTAAAAATAACTAATTTTATCCAAATTAAAAATTCGGTACAATAACTGATTTTATCAAAATTTTAATTTTGATAAATTTTAAGTTTTATTAAAATTAGTGATTTTTAAGATTTTTTAGGAATTTTAGTCAATTATAAAAATTTATAAAATTAGAAAATTAGAAAAATTTTATGATTCTATTTAAAATATTCATTTTTAAAATTATCAAAAAAAAAAAAAAAAAAACTATTAAATTTATAAAAAATTTCTAAAATTACAAAAAAAAAAAAAAAAAAAAAAAGTTTTTTATTGCTGGAGAAGTTTTTTAGTTAAAATGACTTCTACAATAAAATTACTTTCATGCATTCCAATACAATAATTGGATTTACTAATTTTTCAAATTCTTTGTAAATTCTAATTTGATTTGTTTCATTTAGTGAGCTTGATATTATTCCTATGTTAGTAAAACTACTTGCTGATGACGATGAAGATTGCTACCGAAATGCTGCTGGTGCTCTAAAGAACCTGTCATATGGTAGATTTTTAGATGATAATAAGGTATACACTTTAATAATAAATATTTTGTATAACTGTTCTAATTGTTTTAATATTTTTATTTTAGTTTGATTTAAAATATTCAAAATAAAATTGTTTGTAGTTGGTGTCTATTTATATCATATTCATATAACAAGTATTTATATGCAGTGCATATATATATATATATATATATATATATATATATATATATATATTATATATATCTATTATATATTATATATATATATATATATATATATATATATATATATATATATATATATATATATATATATATATATATATATTAAGTCAATTTTGGGGAGGTTTGAGTTAATGGTTGAAATGTATAGTTTAGGCAATCTTCTTTTATATAGCAAATCATCTATAATCTTAAACCAATCAGAAATTAGTTTTTTTAATTTGTTCTATTGTGTAGGAAAAAATAGCGATTTTTTTCAGTTTTTTTTAGTTTTCTCAAAACATGAAAAACATTAAAAGTTTTTATAAAAGATGAATCTGTTAGAAATGAGTTAAAACACGGTATTTCAATATTTTTAACTAATGTTTAATCTCAGAAGTGTCCAGTTAGGAGTAATCATCTTGTTTAATTTTTGAGTTTCTATCAAAAAGAGAAATTAGATACTCTTAATTTTTGCAATCCAAATGTCAAACCAATGCAACTTACAGCAACAATTGCAACTTCTTATTAAATAAATTTAAGAATAAAAGTAATGAGAAAAAAAATATTCTTAATATTTAAGTATTTATCTTTCAAAAATTAATAAATGCTATAAGTGCAATAATTAAGGTAATAAATAATTTTTTTGTATTTTTTAAACATGGTAACGCAACAAGTGAATAGGTATAACTTTAAAGAATTGTTTAGAAATTAAAAAATAATTTTTTTTTACAAATGTATAAAATATATGTATTTTTAAAATGGTAGTGTTAACTGTTTTTTAGTTAGCTATTCAAAATTGTGGAGGTGTTATTGCCTGTTCTAAACTTTTGTACAAAACATCGTCAATTGATGTAAGGGAGCATATAACAGGCATTCTGTATAATATTAGTTCTGTGAAGGTAAATTGACCTTTTGATGTGTAATTTTTCAGTTGTTTTTTTTTTTAATCTTTTTTATTTTATCCATTTTTTTATGATTTTGGTTTTACAATTTTGGCTTTTTTATAACATTTTAGTAGAATATTTATAGAACTTTGTTCTAGAGTTTGTTTTTAGTTGTAAAAAATTTATTTTTTGGTTGTAAACATAAAATAATTTTTTTGATTTAGATGTTAAATTTAAAGTTCAGGATTTTGATTTAGCTTAAATTTAAAGTGAGATAGTTAATTTACCTATTGCATCTCTGCTTAGGCATTATTTTCAATTTTCTTTTAATATAAAAGGGGATCAGATTCTTTTAGTATGAAAACCATTTGGTTTTTGTTTTTTTTTAATGTATAAGTATTTTAAAAGAAAAAACAAATTTTTGCAGAAAAAAGTGGGGAAAAAAAGTCCTCTTAAAACAAGAACAATAATAACAGATAATAATATTCAATTATTTTTAAAAAGATTTAAACATAAAAGAATGTTAAATACTCAATCATGCTAGAAATGTAGGAAACTTGTTTTTTCTCATATTTTAAGATGATGCTACATCAGTTAATAGTTTATTATGCAGTGATAAGTTTTTTAAATTTGTGTTTGTCTTTATTTTGCTAAAAAAAATTGTGTGGACAGAAAAAACCATAATCATATCTATATATGCTATAGTATAAATCTATATATATATATATATATATATATATATATATATATATATATATATATATATATATATATATATATATATATATATATATATATATATATATATATATATATATATATATATATATATGTATATATATATAGTTTTTAATTTCGTAAGCATTTTTTAGTCAATCAGCATTGAGATTTTGAAAGAATGTTTAGAAGTTGTTTCGATGCTTGTCATAATACCTCTATCTGGTTGGGAACGAGAATATGCAACTATTGGAAAGAAACCAAGAAATGTGATATGGTCTGTTTTACTTAGAAATTCTACAGGTGTTTTGAGAAATGTCTCATCTGCTGGGCGATCTGCTAGAGTTAAAATTCGATTAATTGATGGTTTAATAGATTCATTGATTTGGATTCTCCGTGCTGCGATTGAGCAAAATAAACAGGATCCAGAGAGTGATATTATTAGCAATAAAGTAATGTATACATTAATAAATATTTTTATATATGTCTGTATACATTAATAAATATTTTTATATGTACAAAAAGTTAACAGTATATTATATTCATCATTTTATATATTTTGTATTTCATGTTATTTATTAAAGTCTTAATAAAAATTTAGATCTAAAAATTTATGTTAACTTTTAAAAGATTTATTATGTCAAGAATTATAAACATTTTAATTGCTAAATATTATTTATAATATTTTTTTATTATTTTATTATAAATGATGATAGTTGTTAAAACAGATTTGAAATTTAAAAACTTTTCTAGATTTCTGTAAATCATACTTCTAAGTTTGCTTCGGAGAAGATATTTTTTCATTAAAAACTGAGGCAATGTTAATTGTAATAGCAAGTCACAGATTTTTCACAATTATTTTTAAACTTCTAGGTTTAAAAGTAATCGTGGTGTTAAAATATTTTAATTATTATATGTAGATATCTAAATCATGGAAAACTATCTTTTAAATTTTTCAGAGAAAATGACACTTTTTGTTAAAAAAAATTATCAATACAAAGTTGAGAAACATATCTTTTAGTACAATTATGTGTACTAAGTTATATATGTCCTGGGTTGGCTGTTGTTTAGTAGTTTGGATTTGCTTTAGGGCACCAATCTTTTCTTCAATTATTCCTTGTTTTTTTCTTCTTTTTCTGAAAAATCCGAAAATATGAAGTAGGGGGGGGGTCCATAATTATCTTTTTTTAGATTTTTTATAGTTTAACCAATTTTTCTTAATTAGTTTTTCATGCTGATTCTGAAAATCATAATCATTTTTTTTCATTTTAATTATTTAGCCTTCTACTTCGATTTTAATAAAAGTTTTATAAGTAACAAAAAAAATTAAGCATTATATATGAAAATAATTCATACAGTTTGTTATTTACTATTGAAAATGGAAAATAACTATAAAAGTCATAATATGTGATAGATATTGCTGCGGGAACTTTCCATGTAGAACATTTAGGTTATGAGCATGTTCTTTGGTAGACATAAGATGGAGGTTTGTATTTTTATATCAAAAATCATGTATTTAAACAGAATAGACCTCTGCGACAATGACCTACATTGTATCCCTAAAATAAAGAACCTCGTTTTTTGAACTTTTTTTCATTTTAACATATCTTTATCTACTTCAATAAAGTTCACAACTAAATGGGCTGCCTTGTAACTTTAATCAAACTAAAATAGAACTCATCTTGCACACCTGATGTAAAGTTTGCTGCTCTTCCATTGTTACCCATTTGTTTTTGTAGCTGGTTTCAACTATACTCCATAGTTTCAACTTTTTGAACAAATAATTGACAATAATTTTTTAAAATATTTTTAAACTACGCGAACCTTCATTTTTTATATGGTTTAAACAATTAAGTATACATCTACTGTTGAAATTAAATGGGTTTTTTCCAAAGCTTTCCAACTGCAACAACTTAAATAGAAAGTTAATACTAATCATATTCCATCATCAACCAAACACATAATACTTTTCTCTTTTTTGAAGTCCTGAGGCTTTTGCCAAAATACTCTAGCAAGAATGATACAATCATTCGACCTCTTTGAGGTATACTTTTTAACTGCTTCTAGAATTTTTTTTAACTAGTCATTCACTGCGTTTTAGAGTAAAGAAGAAAATTTCAAAGTTTGATCACCCAGTTTGTTTTTTATAAAACCTTTTAGGTAGGGGTATTCCTTTAGCCTGTTTATCTTTAGAGTTGTTAAACCTTTAGAATTTAACTGAACTTCTACTGACTGGCACTTTAAAAGAAGATTTATTCTTGACTTCATTAAAGAAAAGTGAAAAAAAAAAAGAAATCTTGAATAGCCTTCTCGATAGCTTGAATAACGATTAAAAATAAATAAATAAAAAAGGAAATTAAGATATTTTGAAGCAACCTGTCTTTTTGATTACTTAGAACGTTTTGTTTAGAAAGAGACTTCAGATAAAACTTTTTTTTTGAAGCAATCTGTCGTTTTATTTATTTAAAACGTTTTTTTTAGAAAAAGACTTCAGACAAAACGTTTTTTTTCTAAAACGCAACGATTAAAAATCAAATTTATCTATTCAAAATTTGAATAGCATAAATTTGAAAGAAAAGTTGCATAACTTTATACGCAAATAAAGTTTTGCAAAGACTTATTTTTTATATCTTTAAATTTTTAAAATAGAAGTAGAAGGTCAACTATAAAAAATTAGCAAAAACTGAATCGTTTTTTGAACTTTTCTCAAAAAACTAATTAAGAATAACTGGTTAAACAAGAAATATAGAATTTTGGACCCCCCCCTTCCCCCTATATGAATATAAGCAAAACTTGTAAGCATTTCCTGATTTATATACTGTATATATATATATATATATATATATATATATATATTATATATATATATATATATATATATATATATATATATATATATATATATATATATATAATTTATATCAGCCCTCAAAATTAGAAAAAAGAAGTTATTAAGTGGTTACCTTAAAATGTAGAAACGAGGCCGGCCTTAAACTATTTTACCAAAATGATGTAATTCTTAGGCCTGATATATATATGTGTGTATGTGTTTTTGCTAATTTTTCATAGTTGACCTTTTACTTCTATTTTAAAAATTTAAAGATATAAAAAATAAGTCTTTGCAAAAGTATATATATATATATATATATATATATATATATATATATATATAATATATATATATATATATATATATATATATATATATATGTATATATACATATATATATATATATATATATATATATATAATATATATATATATATATATATATATATATATATATATATATACATATATATATATATATATATATATATGTATATATATATATATATGTATATATATATGTATATATATATATATATATATATATATATATATATATATATATATATATATATATATATATATATATATATATATATATATATATATATAAGCCTTCCTAGGAAAGGCGTGCGTTTTTTTTTCTCGTACGACCACGAAAACGTTTTTCAAGTTAGAGAACGTGATCACGGCTATTTGCGCATGTTATATTATATGCGTTACTGTAAAATTGTTTTAAATTTAATAACTACATAAGAATTTAAAGGAAACTTAAATAAAAAACAATAATAATAGTTTAAACAATTTGTGTGTTGTTTTAATTTTTGTTTTTTCTCAGTGGTTATTATTATCGGCAACAAATTTCATTTAGTCAAAGCAAAAAAAAAAAAAACGGTTTTAGGCGTTAAAAAGGATGACTTTCCCATATTTTATGTGTTTTTTCGTTTTAAGAGGAAAGAGAAAATATGTATCGTCATCTGTTTGTAAAAAATATTTGTATAATTATAATGTAACAAGTTTATATCAAGAGTTAAATTATACGATCGCGTTTGCAAACTCTGGTAAAATATTAGGTCTATAAAATTTTAGTTCATGCAAAGGTGTATACTTTGTTTACAAGAAGCAAATTATTAAAAGTTTGCTAGCGAGTAAGTTACAAAAAGGAAAACAAAAACAATAAACTTACGACTACAAAAGCAATAACACTTTAGTCACTAACTGCATTATAAAAGTAATAAAACTATAATAGTGTTGTTACATTTATAAAGCACTTATTACTTTTAAAATTCATTCTTTGTTCAAACAACATTAATTCCAAACATTTATTAAAGTAGAAAAGCATCTAGAAAAAATAAAACAAATATTCAAATATTATTAAAATTTTCAGGAACTTTCACATATCGCTTAAACAACATAACTTTATAAAAAGTATAGCATTATGAAAAACGTTACATAAAAACGTGTGTTAATTTTAAAATCAACCAATAAAAAATTTTTATTGCTTAATTTTTAAATTAATGCGCGTTTTTACAGTCCATTAGTAACGTTTTTCATAATGCTAAACTTTTAATACGATAGTTTTAAAAAAGTTTTTTTTGTCACGTTTTAATAAGTTATTTAAGTTTTAATATTATTTGAACATCCACTATATTCTTCTAGATATTTTTCTACTTCAATTAAAATTTGGGGATACTAATGTTGCTTGAACAAAGAATGAATTCTAAAAGTTATAAGTGCGTTATAAAAGTAATAACACTATTATAGTGTTATTACTTTTGTAATGCAGTTAGTGACTAGAGTGTTATTACTTTTGTAATCGTAAGTTTATTGTTTTATTTTTTATTTTTTCGCTAACAAATTTAAGTTGATTCCCCCCCTTAAAAATAAGGAACCCGGTTTTGTATAAACTAAAATTTTGAATACTAGGTATTTTTCCAGATTTTACGTTTTGCATTCGCTTAATTCAACCCTCGTTATTACATTATTATTGTTGTTACATTAAAATTATACAAATATATTTTACAAACACATTGCAATTTATATTTTTGCTATCCTCTTGCTGAATGTAACAACCACTCTAAAGAAACAAAAATAAAAACAGTAAACAAATAATTTAAACTATTAATGTGTTTTTATTTTTTTCTATTTTAATCTCTTTTTATTTTGTTAGTTTAGTTTTTTTTGTTTTTAAAACTTTTTCAGCATTGATTATTATAAAACTTGCGAACACCCGTGTTCAAGTTATCTAAAATAAGATACTCGCATGTGGTCATACAAGACGAAAAACCGCACACCTTTCCTGGGAAGGCTTGTACATTTTTATATATATATATATATATATATATATATATATATATATATATATATATATATATATATATATATATATATATATATATATATATATATTATATATATTATGTATATATATAATATATATAATATATATAATATAAATTTTAAGCCCCTATGATTAAAAATTGTTGCCTCTATAATTAGAGGCAACAATTTTTAATCATAGGGGCTTAAAATTTATTAAAAAATAATATTTATATAACAAAGACCTTGTTTTAAATTTTTAAAAATGTCATAAAATTCTCTTTTTTAAATATATACCCCCAGATTGAAAAAATTGAAAATGTTTTGTATACCTTTGTATACATACCTAGCTACCATTGCCCTGTTTTCTTGGTCCTCTTTTGCTTTGTAAATTTAATATAGTGTTGATGAATGGTTGAAATTTTATTTTTTAAGCCTTGAATTTTAAAAAAGCTGAGAGAAACTTTGCACAATTGCCTTCTATGTTGGAGATATTTTAAGTGTGTATTTTATGTTAGAGATATTTTAAGTGTTTACGCAATCAACAAGGTTAATCTGCGCATCTAGTGCATTAAAAAGAGTTGTTTTTTTTAAAGTAGAGAGATGTTTTCATTTAATTGAGATTTTTTTGTTTTAATCTAAATTAACGGGGTAAGAATTTTAATGAGCTCAAGCTCATTAGAACTCTTACCTTGTTACCAATACAAATAAAGTGTGCATATTTATTTTTTTTGCTCAAAGAGAAATGTTTAAAATAAAATATTTTTCTACCATTTTCTCAAAAAAAATTAAAGTAAAGAATAGATAAATGAATAAAGATAGATAAATAAATAAAGAATAGATAAATAAAGATAGATAAATAGCTGAGTAAGTATAAAAATAGAGTTAAATTTCTTTTAAAAATAAATTTTGTTTAAACAAAAATAAATTTCATAATCATTTTTAAAATTTTTTAACATTAGGTTATTGGTTTACTAAATGTAATTAAAAATAGTAAAAACAATATTACAGTTTATTATTAATGTTATTAAATAATTTATTTAAAGCTACGATTTTTGTTCCTATTTGTTCAAATAACTTTACATTTAAAATGTCTTGATTCATATTTTTCATAGTAATTCCATTTGTCAGATTTTAATAGTGACCATAATTTTAGTTTTTAATAAAAGCAACACTATGCACAAAGTGCACAAAAAGTCTTTAGCAACCTTATATAAGTAATTGCACACAAAAATATTTTTTTTATGAAAAAGGGTTCATTAAATGCACAAAGAGAAATATGTTAAGTTATAAAAATTGCCACGGATTCAATAATAATGCAAATGTGATTCATTCCCTCCCTGCAATTATAGATTACTGACAACATCCAAACCAGTTATAAGAAAGATGCTATAGAGGAACGAAAATTGAAATTTTTTAAAGTTGATATGGCAGTAAGTTTCTAAGTTTGTTTTATTACCAGGAGTATACTCGTCTTCCTTTTTTGTCTGTTTTTTTTTTTTTGTTTTTTTTTTTTTAATTTTTAAAGACAAGATTTCATGTTTTTTAAACATAATTTTTAAACAACAATAAATAAAAGGTTTGACAACAATAGGGGTTTTTATATAGATTTAATAAATTTATTTATAGAATAAATTGTATATTTTGTCAACTAAATATTATATCAACATATTTATATAGACCTCACCAAAGATCATAAATTTATTTTATACACATATTAAAGCAAAAGTGTGTGTGTTATATTGAGTAAAGGAAATGTCTGTGTCTAATAACTGTTAGACTTTAGCTTTCTTGGTAGAGGTTTGTTTGTTATAATGCTATTTGATGCTTTGCTAGGTCTTTAAAACCAATCCAAACTCTGTATAATCATTAAAGTTTAACATCATTTTTGAAAAAAGTTTAAGATCATCTTTGGTGTCTTTGAAAAAAGTTAAGGACTTATGTTGTGAAGTTGTTTATTTTTAAAATAGCTCTCAAACCTTCTCCAAAAAAATTGATAATAAAAATCTTGATAGACATAGCTAAATAAGATAGAAACTAATTGTGTTTCTAAAATATTAATTTTTAAGACATTGCGAGGTTTGATATAGTTTTAAAGCATGAATCTAGGTATCAAGATGGGTTTACAAAGTTGTTTCTTTTAGGCAGATATATTTTCAAATATTTTTGAAAAACAAGTTTCGGTCTTTTTTTTTTTTTTTTTTTTTTTTTTGTCTTGTTCAAAATTATCTTTAAAAAAAAAGTCATTTGTAAAAAATGTTGTTATAAAAAAAAAATTTTATTAAAATTTTAACAGCAACTTTTTAAATTCTTAATCAAATAGTTGATTTGTTGTTCGCTCAGGTTGTTTGCTGAACACAAAATAAATTGTCAAATATTTTTTTCTGAACTTTTTTATTTATGTTTCCTGTTAAAATGTTTTAGATTGTTGAAAACATTATGTGTGTTTTGCGTAATCTTTCATATAACATTGATAAGGAAGTTGATCGCCTCAGATATTTAGATGCATTAAAGATTTCTGTTAAAGATGGTGAAAATTTTTCTAATAATACTTTATCTCGTGATACAACATTACCTTACGATGCAACATTACCTCGTGATGCAACATTAGATAACACTCAAATTCTTGATAAAAAAGAGTCAAGTATTACCAGCAAAGAAAACACATCTGAGAAAGGTTTAAATAGTTCTTTTGAATAGATTTAGTTTGTAGAAATTTAGCTACATATGTATAAATATGTAACATTTATACATATGTAGCATTTATTTAATGCCACATTTTGAAACTATGTATCTTTATGTTTATTTATTGTTTTGAATTATGTTGTCATCTTTAAGGTTTTTTGGGTATGAAAAAAAAACCCTTTGGTGGTAAAGTTCAAGGAAAAATTTCTGACTTAGCGAGAGATGAAAATCCTAAACCACCTCGTGAGAAGTGGAATTATCTTATTCCTGTACAAGAAAATCAGCCTGTCACAAATGGTGTTCAGTTACTTTGGCAGCAAGAGACAGTTACATACTATATATTGATCCTAAAGAGTAGTATTAATCCTGTAACGTTGGAAGCTGCTGCTGCAGCTATTCACAATTTATGTGCTGGAGATTGGAATGTAAGATTTTAAATCCTTTAGCGTTTCATTGATTTTCTAATATACTGGAGATTTTATATATAAATATATATTATTTTATTATTTATTACTTTATTATTATTATTATTATATATATATATGTATATATATATGTATATATATATATATATATATATATATATGTATATATATATATATATATATATATATATATATATATATTTATATATATATATATATATATATATATATATATATATATATATATATATATATATATATATTATTTTAAAACATCATAAAATACAGTTTTTCTCAACACAAATATTATTAATATAATATATACATATATCAATATATATATATATATATATATATATATATATATATATATATATATATATATATCAATATATATATATATATATCAATATATATATATATATATATATCAATATATATATATCAATATATATATATATATATATATATATATATATATATATATATATCAATATATATATATATATATAATATATATATATATATATATATATATATATATATATATATATATATATATATATATATCAATATATATATATATATATATATATATATATATATATATATATATATATATATATATATATATATATATATATATATATATATATATATAATAAATATTTAAATGTAAATATTTTTTATTTGTAAATATTTTAACTATTAAATTAAATTTTTTAAAAAATAAAAAAAAAAATTGTTATTCTTTTTATAAACCAGAAATTCTTCATTTTTAATTTTCACTAACATTGTTTGTAGTGGTCTGCATTGCTGAGGATACATGTAAGGTTGCAAAAGGGTCTTCCACCAATTGGTGACCTTTTGACAGTTGATCAAGAGTATGTTGTTCGTGCTGTTGCTCATGCATTAAGAAATTTAGCTATAGATTCTAGAAATAAATGGTCAATAGGTAAGTTTCAGTTAATTTGCCACACACACACACCTTATATATATTTTTTAAATATATATGTGTGTGAATATATATATATATATATATATATATATATATATATATATATATATATAGTTTTTTTTTTCAAAAAAGCACAGATTTCCCGCTAAAGTTTGCAAGAATGAGGGGGTATTGTCACCCAAATTTTTTTCCTAGAATAGACCCTGTGTATATACATATATATATATATATATATATATATATATATATATATATATATATATATATATATATATATATATATATATATATATATATATATATATATATATATATATATATTTATATATATATATATATAAAGATATATATATATATATATATATATCTTTATATATATATATATATATATATATATATATATATATATATATATATATATATATATATCTTTATGTGTATATATCAGTCTTTCACAGGAAGATGTGTGATCGTACATCTTTATATGAACAAGCAAATTACATTTTGCTATGATGATTTGACCATGGCTATTTCATAAAATGCACTATGTGAAAAATATTTTGAAAAAGTAAAATAAATTACATCAAAACTTCTTAACAAATGTTTTTATATTAGCGAAACGCGTTTAAATAAAGTAACTAGTTACTGATAATGTTTTTTTTTTTAAATATAATTGACAGTTGTATATATATTTTTTAACTTATAGTATATAAATTGTTTAAGTGTGCATTTCTATAATAAACTTCATTAAAATATAAAAATTGTTTTGTTTTTGTAAATGACGACATTCTGCGACAATGAAAGTCTCTTTAACAAATTTAATATAAAAATAGTTAAAGTTAATACATTTAAAAGGATAAACAAAATTTCGTTGAAAAAAAAAACAAATATTTTAAAACATCATTGCAGTTAAATAAGTTTGATCTTAAATGCTTTTATATTATCAAAACGCTTTTCAATGAAGTAACAAACACTTCTAAATAATTTTTAAAATAAGTATTAATAAACTGTTGTTTTTTTTATTTATATAATTACGTATTTTTTATGAGAAATGTTTATCTTTTGAAACATTATAAATAAATAAAAAAAGTACAAATGTTAAAACAAAGATTGAAATGGTTTTTTAATGCGTAAATTAAATAGACTAAGCATTTTAGTTAGATGAGTTTTGTTTTAATTGGTGTATATATAAGCCGTGGTCAAATTGTCAAAACATAATATTTTTTGTGTGGTCATATAAAGACCTGCGATCGCACACCTTCCTGTAAAAGACTGTATTTATATATTCTATAATATATTTATATTGTATTATCTATATTTTTGTTTTTTAGGAAAATATATCCATAGAAATCTTTTATCAGTGCTTCCCCCTATAACTGCTCTTCAAAGAGATATAAAACCATCTGAGTATACAATTTGTGCTATTTTGTCCACATTACAAATACTTGTATGCAATGATCAAACAAATTCAAGGTACTTTATAAAGGGAATTTAGTTATTATATTTCCACTTTTAAATACTTTCCACGTGCGTATATATAAGTTTTTATACTTTCTATAAATTTGGATTTCATGTAAGAATTTGCAAAAAAATTTTTTGAAAATGTTATCGCCCTTATAATCTCCCTTATAATCCCCCTTACATCAATTTTCCAACATTTCACATTAATCCTTAGACTCAAAGTCTAGGATTAATGTGAAATGTTGGAATATTCTTGTTCCCAGTTTCTAACCAACATAATTTTCTTTCAAAACATTAATTTACACCAGTATAAATATACAAAGTTTTATTCTTGATGTCTGGATGTTGTTTTAATCACCAAAAAACTGTTTCTCTCCTTGCATCCTTGCATGTATGATAAATGTCTATAAACTGCAAAATGTTTAATTTATATTTTCATGGAAAATTACAGGTGAGACCTGGTTTTTGTTTTGAGAATTTGAGAATAATAACATAATTCTCCCTAATAAATATAATAACGTATCTTAATATTCCTAGTGATGCTTTTCTGTGATGCTCTGTGATAATAAATCAATGTGAAAGATAATTTCCTTTAATATGCTTCCATGATGGCTGGAATAAAAGTTAGCATTTAAAAATAGTTTAATTGATATCAATAATCCTAAATCATTGCAGCTATACACTTATTCCCAGAATAACATAAAGAGATAGAAATTTTGAAGGCAATGCACAAGGTGGTGTTTGATAAATTTAGGTGCCCAAAAATTTTTTGTGGTATTTTATTTTTAAATTAAAAAAAAATCGGCGCTATGCAGACAATTTTTACAAGGTGTATTGTGATAGGGATGATCAAAGTTTGCTTCAAGTGAAGAAATTCTTTGTTTGTTATTTTAAATAATTTTTGTTTTATAATAAAATAAAACTGGGATGGGGTGGTGGTGGTGGATGGCACATTGATATATCTAATTAAATATTATTTATCAAGAACCGCTTTTTTTTTTAGTAAAGAAAACTTTTATGTAAACCTTCAAAGACGCTTTAAAAAAAAACATTTTGGCAATTTCAAAAATTACTACAGTTTAAACACAGTTTACTTTACTGTTTAATAATCTTCTGTGCAAATAATACATTACTTATTAACTAATAACTGATTTTTATAGTAAATGAGAGCAAAAGGTTTACAAGACTAAACAACATTTAAAAAAATTTCTTTTAAACGTAACTCACATTTTTATTAAAAAAAAATCTATTTTTAGTGCAACAAAATTATGACACTTGGAAAAAATATGTATAAATTGTCTTTTATAAAAAAAGGCGTTTCAATTTTAAAAAATCAATAATGGTTACTTTTACTATTTTTTGAAACACTATATGTGACAGTTGTCCCCAAGCATTCTCAATTATATTCTGGTCTTTGGATCTAGCTGGCCATTTCAATGTTTCAATTTCACTGTTGTTGAAATAATCCTTTACTATCTCAGCTGTATGAACGTTAGCATTATCTTGCTGAAAAACAAAATTTTCACCACCAATGACAGATGCTTTCATTTTTCTGTTCGATGACCACCAATGACTAATCCTTAGCCTTATCATTTTCTTTTATCATTTTTCTGTCAATAAAATATATTTCTAATACCCAATTACACACCAAATCATTACATCATCACCACCCATTTAACGTTGTTGCTGTATTACTTGTTCTTTACGCAAATCGTGAAAATAATAGTTCTATCTGGCCCATCAAGACAAATTCATTTTTTATCAGAAAATACTACTTGTTGCCACTCTTCTTTCCATGTTACATGGTCCTTTGCAAAGCTACCCATGGTGACATAGAAATTAGGGTGCGCCAACTTTTCAATCCAAATGTTATTTCCTGAACAAATTAATGTTTTCCTGGTATGGTAAATAATTTCAATTGATTTATCAGGTATTTTGGTGAACTATTTTGCATGCCTAATAGAATCTTAAAAAAATTGTTTTAAAATTGAAGAGTAAAACTCGTCTATATCGTACTGAATGAAAGTACATTTATTTTTTTCAGGTATGGGTTTGAAACATTTTATGTCGTCATTTGTGCTATACCATTGGTGTACGTGGGTAGCATTCCTAATTTAACTATTGATATCATCTAATATAACTTTAATGTCATCAAAGCGAACACTCCATAGCATTTTTTTTGTATATAATTTTGTCGTTATTTTTTTGTTGTTGTTACATCTGATGATCGCTTTTGCGTGAAACTTTAGTTATGTAATTGAAATATATCTTAACTTTATTACTTCATTAACTTCATTACTTAGCTTTCAATATATATATATATATATATATATATATATATATATATATATATATATATATATATATATATATATATATATATATATATATATATATATATATATATATATATATATATATATATATATATATATATATATAAAAAAGTAAAATAAGACAGAAATTTGTTTTTTATCAAATTTGTAGTTGTTATTTTTTATTTTTTAATGTCCGTTTATTTAATAGGTTTATAAAAAATGAAGGAGGCATTGAAAAGTTAGTGGCTTTGACAAAAGAACCTGTAGATGGAATAATGCCACAAGAGTGCCTTCGAGTGTATTCAAAAAAAGTTATACTGGAAGCCAACAGGGTTAGATTTTATTAAATAGTTTTTGAGTTGAAATTTTATTAATATGATTTTTATTTTTTTTAATTACGTTTAATTGATTAGGTTTTGCTATACATGTGGGATTTCAAAGATTGTCGTGAGTCGATCAAACAACAACCTTGGTCTCACTCCAAAGCCGAAGAGGCTGAAAAAAATTATAAAAATCTAGCTAAAGATATGGATGATAAAGATAGAGATGTTTATGCTGAAATGGAGTCTCAGGACTCAGTAAAATTAGAGTCCGATCCACGACGTTACCTAATTTCCGTTGATAACAACTACTCAAGTGTAGAAAATGAATCTTTGTACAATGGATCTCAAAATTCTAATAAACAACCAATAGGTTATGGTGATGTGCCTTTTAATGAAGTTGGTATGCAAAAGCCTTTGCTTCACAGCAAAATTTCCAGTAAAAAATGGTACAAAAGAGCTGCTAAAAATAAAAAAAAATAATTTTACATGTTTTATATATTTACATATTATTATAATGTAAATTATAACAATAGCGTTAAGCGTAAATATAGTAAGTGTTTTGTTTTTGATAGTTTTTAAAAATAATAAAATTTTAATTATAATATTTGTATTTGTTTATGACATCAAACATGGTTTTAACAAAAACGCTGACCATCTGTTTCAACTTTTATTAGTTACATCATTTTCAAAAGTTGTGTTTTTATTATAAAAATTTTAAAAAGTGTTTAATAAAAGAGTTAAGCTTGTTTGTTTTAAAATCATAGCATATATTTTGTATATTTTGTAAATTTTATGTAAATGCACATTTTATATTTATTTTGTATTTAAATATTTATTTGGTTTCATAGTTAAAATTATATTCTTTTGTTTATATTTAAACTTTCTTTTTTAAAATTCATGCATTTGCATGATGAGTCATTATTGATTATTTATTTAACGAACTTTTATTTAACGATTTTCAGAAAATTTTTTAAACAATTTTTTAAATGATAGTTAAAAATCTTTTAAGAATTGTAACATATTTAAATATCCATTTGTGTTTTGTTGTTTTTAATGTAATTTTTATATGTAAAAATATAATATAGCAATATTTAGTTATTGCATAGCAATGAGAATAGATAGGACTGGTTAAAACTCTCCCGAAAATCCCTACCCTTCCTCCCTACTTTTTCATTTAACAAAAAAGTTTACATTACAGGTTTGAATAATTTTTTTATTTTTATCTTTGTAGCGTTGAGCGAACATAAAATTAAGAAAACTTGTAGGAGTGAGTTGCCAAAATTATAGCAGCATCTTAATTAAAACACTTGCATTTATTTAAAAAAAAAATTACCTTGTAGCTAGTAAAACATCTTATTTTCTACGTTTTGAAAATTTTTGAAAGTTATCCGTCAAAAAATGCACGAGTACCATCTATTTAAAGGTTTGTTGCGTGTTTTTTTTTAATTTCGTGTTCACACTTTATTGATTGCACCGGGTAAACTATACACTGGGTTATACGGTTTTTTGTTGTTATGCGATGGGGTATAAAATGTAAGTGATAACATACATTTATCTTTACGTTGCTGCATGCAGTGATATAATAAAATAGTCTAAAGTTTTCTTTAATGGAACTATAACGTTTTCTTCGCTTAACTAGTAATAAAAGGATTGAAGAAATAGTTGGAGCAATTTAAAAATTAATTGTTACAATCATAAGCTACAAATCGAAGCAAGCTGTTCCGAATCAAAGTTTCAGAATACCTTGATTGGAGCAAAATAATGCTTTGACAAAACGGGTTTTATTTCTAATGACAGTTTAAAATAAAATCGGTTGACTTGATCAATTAAGTCAAGTTATGATTAAAGGTATAGTAGGGTTGTATCTTTGTATTAATTAAATCATAAATATTTTTATAGTTGCCATTTTGATTATATATAGCAATAAGTAGTAATCATTTTGAATATAAAAAGCCGTTATTTTATATATACATATATATGCACACGCACGCACTTACATACAATAATTTTTTTGTAATTTTTACCATTATTTATAAGCTAATTTCTTTTTAGCTGATTTTCCTACGCCTGTTCTATTCATAGATTAAACATAAACACGCGATTAAATTAATGCTTGTTGGTGCACAAAGTGCACCAACGAGCAATAGGACCTCACACTCTGTCAGTAAGCTGTCAGTTTACTTAAAATTAATAGACATTTCTAATTTTTTTTATTTCTTGATAAACGTTGATCTAAACGTTTAACTATTATTGCTGTTGCCTAAAAGCATTTCAAGATTTTTCATTTTTTTGATAAACAGTTTACGTAAAAGTAAATACAACTTTGTATCAAGTATTCCCTTTCTGGATTCATTCGTTTTTTTGATAGAAATGTATTTGCAATAAATGTAAATTTCCTAAAGGTTTTTTGTTTTTTTTTTACAATAAGGTTACACATTACACCTAGAGATAAATATATTGATTACACTATATTCATATTTATTATTATTATTATTGTGATAAAAAAAACAAATACAATAAATCTGTTTAAAGTTTAATGAAGAGGTGCTACACTAGGCCCCTCTATGCTGACGAAAATAAAAAACACAGAAGCTACAGACAAAGCAGCAATTGTTTCTCTAAAAGTTACTTTGTTATACTGTTTTTGAAAGCATGGATAGTTGGAGCGTTCACTACTGCTTGGGAAAGCGCATTCCATGGGACAATATCTCTATTTGAAAAAAAGTTTTGTCGTTCTTCACAATTTTGTACAAGCTGGCGTTCTAGTTTTTGATTATGCCCTCTCAAAATATATTTGGCTTTACTGTTTGAAAGTTTTTGTGGAACGAAAAAACTGACAAGTTCGAGTTGACGCGTGATTTTAAATTGTTTGATTAGGTCTGCTTTTTTATGGCGTTCTTCAAGTGTTGTTAGACCGAGCTGTTGGAGTCAATTTTTTATAGGACAGGTGTTTAATAGATGATATTGTTTTTGTTGCTTGATGTTGGACTTGTTCGAGGATAGCAATGTCAGACTTTAAATGCGGCGAATGTATATATATATTGTTGCTCTAGCGTTCGGTCTTCGCGAACTTAGACACCCTTGAACAGCAAACTCGAGGTGGGGGCAAATGTAAATAAGATACAATGTGCGCTATAAATAAAAAAATCCGAATTGTTGTTTTGGTCGCCCTAGCATTCTATTCGGAATTGGTGCTTCGGAATTGATGATTCGGAATGATTCGGAACTGACTTTACTTGTGGTCTCACTTTAAGGTCTTTGGAGACCATCACACCAAGGTCTTGTTCGACTACAGTCTTTTCGAGTGGATAACGTGTGCCGTCAATGTTGACGGCACACGTTATCCACTCGATTCTTTGCCCATATTTATTTTTCGACAAATTTGCTCAATTGATGTTGAGTTGAGCTGAGTAGAATTAACTTCATTGACTATAACATTGTCTTTTGTGTAAATGGCAACTCCACCACCCCTATTTTCTCTGTCTTTGCAATGAGGTTGGTAGCCGGATATGGCAACGTCTGAGAAATCTGTGAACCAAGTTTCCGCAAAAAATATGTCTTGTGGCCAACTAGATTTAGGCAGAGCAGAGAGTCTGGCCAACAGCTCTTAGCGTTTGTCATTATTGAGTGAGTATAGGTTGTTTGCCCAGCAGCGTTGATGCTTAGGTGGAACAGTGGATGAGTTCGGCTGAATTGGTTTTATTTTTGCTTTAGATATTGGTCTAGGACGTCTAGATGGCAGTAGAGATTTCTAGTTTAGGAGCGGCTGTTCGACTGGCATAGTCAGCCTAGGCTCTGGCTGGGGATGAAAACACAAACACAGCACTGGTTGGACGTCAGTTCGATGACATTGATGCAACCTGTCCTTTAATATATTACATTCCGAAACGGTTTATCTAGAATATTAGCAGCAGCAAGTTCGTCATTTAGCTTCTTGAGCTGTGTGAGAGTAGCGTTTAACTCAGTTTGTAACACTACGGTCTTCGCGAACTTAGACACCCTTGTATGTCTCTTGCTTGTGGTGAGCGCTTGTTTTGAGTATTTCAGTTTAAGATAAAAGATTAGATAGTGAAACCTGGATAATGTTCAAGTTTGACATCTTTACTTTGTTTTTACTTGTTTTGATGCGGTTAACACGTACAATACCAGTAGCATCCTTCAATCCCGTTGCGAAAAAAAAAATCCTCACCATGTTTTTATCGTTTACTGTGCTATACTTGTTAAGACCGACTAAATTGACGTTTAACTCGCGACTTTGAATATTTTTATTTTGAGCGGCTATAAAGGTACTTAATTGCTGACTTAGTGTATACCGTCTAAATTTAAGGCCAGTTTTGCATGTGGTTTTTAATAAAAGTATAACAAGCTATCAATTAGCATGCTATAAAAATTCAAAATTGAAAACAAAGAATCTTTTGTTGTTGGCTGTTACCCAAAAAATTCAAGTTAATCTTTACAGTTTCAGTCAATTGTTCTGTTGAATATGGCTGTTTTATAGTTTGTCTTTAAATTATTTTTTTCCGATTAGGCACATTTTTTTTAACAACTTTTTAATTTAAAGACAAACTAAACAGCAGCCGTCGAAAGTTTTTGCTCTAATATACTCACGGTAAAATTTTCTATCGAAATGTTGCATATTGTGTGACGGCTGTTTTATAGTTTGTTTTGAAGACTTGAGAACGGTTGGTAAAGAAATAATATATTAAATAGATAAAAATGGATAACAAAGTCATCTGCTGTCTGTGATAAGCATTTTTAAGATATAGGGTAGACTGAGGCGATTTCAATTTATACATAGAAAAGCTTGTACAAATTTATCAAAGGATTTTAATGCCACACAATATTTCTAAAGATATCTGTGAGTGAAAAAATGCGTTAAGAAAAAATTCTTAACTTCTAAAACAGAAAAAGAATTTCTAGCATATCTCAAGTATCAGCATATCTCATCTACTACTTATAACTATGACATTGAGTTTCTCAAAAAGATTCTTTCAAAAGTTTTGCAAGATTGGCTGCGTTGTGTGACTTAAATAAAAAAAAGTTGAAACAAATGTGAGTTGGTCGTATATCTTCTCTGAGGAAATGTGCTGGAAAGTTTATGGAATCAATATTTGCAGTGAAGCTCTGCACGCTGGTAGTTGTATTAGCATGATCGGCTTTCTTTGCCAAGAAAAGAATTTAATCTGTTATCTTATAATAAATAATAGGAATATTAACTCGAGAAGTATTTTCTGCCTATCGTGCACATTGGTTCTAACTCCAACTGTGGCACCTTGGCTCCAACTCCAACTGTGCTAATCTCTTAAAACTGGGATTCTCTACTATAATGACAAGTTGGTTATCATTTTAATTTTGTAGTTGTAACAATTTAAGTCTTGTAATTTTTACTGCCTCCAAATTTCTAGGTACGATGGGCTTGATCTTTGCAAACACTTGGTTTATTGTCAGATTAGGAGATCAATGTCTTGAACTAGTGTAGAAGTATATAAGCCTAGAACTTGTCATTACGGATGAAAAATATGAATACGGTTGTAGTAGGCCAAGGTTCCTTGGAGACAAAAACTAGAAAACGATCCTGCAGTATAGCTATCCTCCTCCAGTAGATTATAGACGATAGCAGTAGCAGATAGCAGTATATCCTCGCATACATTAAAATTGTTAACGTTATCTTTATCACGTTTTTGATTTTTGAAATAAAAATGATTATAACAATAAAAATAACATATATAAATTATACTTGGTATTATTATTACTATTGTTATTTTTACTATTACTATTACATACTTTTATTTTTTTATGTTTTCAGTATTATTGTTTATTATTATCAATGTTACATTGTTTTATATTATTGTTATAAAATTAAAAAAAATTATATATATATAAAAAAATAAAATTATTAAGTAAATAAATAGATTAAAAGAGAATAAGATTATCTAAGATATTTAAAATACTTCATTTTTAAAAAGTTTTAGTTTTCATTTTAGATTTGTAAAAAGAAATTGTAGTTTTGATGTCATTATTAAGTTTAGTATTCCATAATTTGGGTCCTCTATTTGCAATAGAGAATTCGGACGCCGTATAATAAGTTTTAAGTTGAATGTAGTTCTGATTTGAAAATCTAGTAAACATGATTTATTTTGTTAAAAAGGTATTAAATATTAGAGGTATCATTTTTTTGTAACAATTTTGTACATAAAAGTAAATATCTGATAAATGTTTAGTTGATAAAAATTGAGTATATTTAGTTTACTAATTAAATCTTTTGAGGGCGTTAAACTATTTACGTTTGAAACAATTTGTATAGCGTGTTTTTGATTACTGAAAAGATTTTTTATTTAGACTGCGTTGCTGCTGCACCAAGCAATGTTTCCATAATAAAGGTAGCTGTGAATAAAAGAAAAGTACATGTTTTTTAAACAGTTTTGATTTAAAAACAATTCGATTTTTTTTTTGATATTTTATTTTCTATTTTACTTATGTGCTCTCGCCACAAAAAATTTTAATCGAGAAATACTTCTAAAAACGGCAAAAGTGCTCCCTTTTTATTATTAGAATAATACATAGATTGGGAAGTTTTAAAGGAATATTTTTTTTTTGTGGAATCTATGAAAAAGATTGTATTTGGTTTTAAAGTTTATTAAACTTGAACCATCAGTTAAACTTGTGAGTTGCTTATTGACTGTTTTAAATAAAAGGTCGGAGGTAACATTAGAGCAAAACAAGTTTGTTGCATTTGCGAATAAAGTTATTTTTAAAATATTAGAAAACTTAAGCAAAGTTTTAGTAAGCATAAATGGACATTAAATGGATTATTTAGCGCCAAGTCAGCCTTTAACTTGAAATGAGATAATTGGACAAAAGCCGTTACACCAAACAAACTAAAAGTAACTGCTGTCTACTGTACTTAAAATTTTTAATTACAGTAAATTGTTGTTTGAAAGAAACACTCGAAGTACCTTTTTTTAAACAAGCTCAATAATCTAAATAAATGAAAGAAATCAATAAGAATACAAATAATCTAAATAAATGAAAAAAATCAGGAATGAATCGGTTTTACATTTAAACATAAAACAAAGAATATTAAAAATATTAGGCTCGTATATATTAAAAACTTTCATTTCAAATAATAGAGGCTTGTCATGAGTATAACGGTCCTTAAAATATATAAGACATGGTACATGCTTCTGCTGACAATAAAGAGGTTTAAGTATATTTTTATTTGTACTACCCCAAGCAATGTTTGCATAGTTTATGTGACAATAAATAAATGAGTGATATAATTGTACTAAAGTATGTTTATTTAAAACATTTCTTGCTTTGTACAACATTCCTAAACGCTTTGAAATTTTACTTGATAAGTTTTTAATGTGATTTTTCCATGTAAGATTTTCATCTATACAAACACCTAGAAAGTTGGTTACTGTTCCTTTTTTAATTTTTTTATTATCAATAACAAGATGAGGCATGTAAAATGGTAGTTTGTGTTTTTTAATTAATATTCCCAAAGTGAATTTAGAATTGTTAAATGAGTCTGATATACTTCTTGTAAGCTAAATAATAGTATTCTAAAATTTTAGAAAAAAAAGAGAAGATAGAAATTTGACGATAGTGTTTTGCATTAGCTTTTTTCTCCTTCTTTAAATATAGAAATTATTGTTTTGCTATTTTTAAATCATCAGGAAAAACTTCCTGATTAATAGAGCATTCACAAATTTGGAAAAGTATGTCTTTTAATTGACATCATCTGGACCAACTGCTTTATTTGACTTTAACAATTTTAAAGCAATTTCAAACTTTTCAAAAGACAAATCAAAAAAATTTAGATACGAGTTTAGAGGGTCATATGTTGCCTTTATTAGTTTTTTAGGGTTTGAAATTTTTTCGGCAATTGTTTTTTGATCAAGAAAAAAATTATTATCTACTTTAATAACTGAGGGCAAAGATTGTGACATTTTTTAAATGTTTGCAGTAATTTCGTTTTTTTTTAAATTAGTTTCGAAATCTAAATTAGTTTATGCGGAAATATAAACTGAAATATGCGAAATTTAAATTAAACTAAGAAATTAAAAATAAAATATGAAAATATAAAACAAAACTCAAGGATTGAGTATAATTTTAAGTTTTTTTAATTTCTTTTTTAATTTCATATTTTCTTATTTAATTTTTCTTATTTTAATTTATATTTTCAGTGTTTTTTTAGTTTATATTTTCACATAATTTAATTTATATTTCCGCATAACCCTGTAATAGTTTCAAAGGCTCGCGCTTTAATAAATCGTTTGCAAATTAAAAAATAAGGTCAAATATTTAATATATTTAAAATATTTAATATATTAAGTTTATTTTTAAATTGTTAAACTAATTTTTTTTTATTGTTTTAAAAGATTAGACACAAAAAAAAAAAAAAATTTATAAAGAGATTGTGTGTTCACATGGCCTACTTAAATTACACGGCCTGATTTGTTGCATTTTCCGTAAAAAATTAAGAGGCCAGTTTTACGGCTCAAGTATAAAAACTTAATTTTTGCTATGGTTATGAGTCTTGTTTGCACTATAATTGGTTTATTCTTATTTTATTAAAATGGTTTAATAATAGTTAGATTTTATTTGAGTACTTACATTATTTTGTGCTGGATTTTTTGTTAACTGATTGCCTGCTTCAGTTTATTCCAATTACACAGAATACTGAAATAGGCTTTCAGATAACTATATCAACACATACCAACATGTTACTAAAAATAACCTTACATGTTGCTAAAACTACCCACAACTCTCCATTGGAAATAATTTTAAAGGTTTGTACTTTTGGAAAATGCAACAAATCAGGCCGTGTAATTTAAGTAGGCCATGGTGCTCATTGACGAAAACATATCCTGGAACAAACATATTGCTTATATTGACAACAAAAATCAAAAAGTATTGGAATTCTATATCACTCAAGGTATCTCCTAAACAAACATCACCTAAAACAAATATATTTCAGCTTTATACAAAATTACTTAAACTACGCAAATATTGCTTCGAGCAGAACTACTAAAAGGCAAACTAGAAACACTCTATAGAAAACAAAAACATGCTTTAAGAATAATAAATTTTATAAATAAAAGCGTACATGCAAAGCCACTTTTTAAAATTATGAATATTTATACATTATACGAGCTAACCATTTATAAAATTTACCGTAAATTAAAATTAAAATTGTTTTTTTTAATTTTAAATTACGATATACAACCCAAAACGGAAACTTAGTCATTTTCATTATTTTATTATATTATTTTATTTTTAACTTATTTTTAACTGTTATAGTTGTATTATTACTTTCTTGATTCTACTTTCAATTGTTTTTTTTTTGCTTTTTTTTTGTTTCGGCGTTTTTAATGGAGCTTGGTCATTAGGCTAATTTATGCTCCAGCCAATTGTTTTGTTATATTATTGAACATTGTTAATCTTTTTTAAATAGCGAAATAAATAAAAAATTATTATGAGACACCGAAACTTAAAAGATCCTAATAAAATTTATTCGAGAGTGATATTTTTATTTTTTATGTAATATATATTATATTAAAAACTAAAACATCGATTTTAAAAATGTTGTTTTTAAGATATATATATATATATATATAATTTAATACCTTAAATACTCTTATATGGGCTAATCCACCGTTACTTACGGGACATTTTGGTTCTTCTCATGTCTTTAAATATATATTTTTTATTTTAACAGATAAGATGTTTATGTATTTATGAATTATCCCAAAATCATTTTTTTTTTTTTTCATGTATATTAAAATTTTTTTCTGTTATTATAAGTTTAGGAATTATAGTTGATTATATGCTGTGTTACTTTCGGGACGCAAAAAAACTCAGGAAGTGTTATATTATTTAGTAAGGTATAAGCAAAAAAGAAAACAAATACTTTAGTGTATATATCTACTTAATTTCTTTGCTAATATTGTTAAATATATAAATTAAGTATAAAGATAATCTTCTCATGTAAAATTTATAACAAAATATATTTATAAAGGTTGACTTTGCCCAACTTCCGTTGTTACGTCAAAAACGTTAGCGTGATCAATCGTACCTTTAATGACACCCGTTGTCTTTGAAAGAGCTTGTCCGGCACCAATGAACCAAAAGTAATGACCTTGAACTTGTTTGTTATAATTAGCGCCAAAGCTTCCATCAACAGTAACTGGAACCTCAAAAGTAACTTTTTCTTTTTTCATTTTACCGATCATGCTCACACTAACTTTGGAATGCGGAGGAACTGTTACTTGAACTTGTGATGTTGCGGATTTTTCTAGAGAGTTTGAACCTGAACTTTCTGTTTTCATAGAAATAGAAAATGTTTGACCAGTTTTGAAAACTCCTTCAACGCCAAATTCAGTTGACATTCTTACTCCAGTTTCAGAACATGTAGTCCAAGATGTTAATTCACTCCATCTCCCTGTAACGCTCATTGTTAGTGTTACTGGTGTATCACCTTTGTTTACTGCGAAAGTAGATCCAAGATTAGCATCTGCTGAATCAGATAGTTCTTGAGATGTAACTGTGGTTTCTCCAGTTCTTTTATAGCAGTAGTGACCATATTGCTCAGTAATTGCTGGTGTCACGGCATTATAATAAGTTTCATGATTGAGAGCAATGCCGTCTGGCGTTTTTCCATATTGTTTCGAAAAAGCCTGTCGGACTGAATCAGGACTGCTGTCGAGCCAAACAAGATCGGTAAAGGATAGAAGCTCTTTTGCCATATTAAAGTGATCAAAAGTTTCAATTTTATACAAAGACTTTATACAAAGACTCGGTGTTTTCTCTCGTATTTATACAAAATTGATATTAATTGATGTAATTTGTAAATTTCTTTGGGATCATTACTCGAATATTATAATGATCTAAGCGATTATTTAACTTGTAAATTAACTTGTAATTGCGAAATGTTAAAACAAAATTATTGCGTGAAAAAAAAGTTATTTTGATTGTTTCTCTTTACCATATTTTATAATTTCTTACTCTATTTTTTATCTTATTCTTTTGTAACTTTACAAATAATTTTTTTCAGTTATTTTAAATGTATTCATTCTATATATTTCGTTATTTAGATTCATATGCATTCAAATATTTTGTTATTTAAAATTTTTATTAATTTTATTACTTACTCTAAATTTGAGATAATTGTTTTTAGATGTTTTAAATCCCTTGTTAGCAATACAAGCGATAACTAATAATAATATCTGCTAACAAGGGATTTAAAACTTCATAAAGTGTCAAGTGTAATAATAAGATAATTTTTTTTACATTTTAATTTTATTACATTTTGATTACAAGGATGTAATAAAAATGAAACTATTTTAGAATTAGGCTGAAATTCTTTGTTAGAATTAGACATGACAATAAACTTTTTATAATGATTTAAAAAAGTTAATTTGTCTAAACGCACACATACGCACACACACACATATATATACACGCATACACATGTATGTATGTATGTATGTATGTATGTATGTATGTATGTATGTATGTATGTATGTATGTATGTATGTATGTATGTATGTATGTATGTATGTATGTATGTATGTATGTATGTATGTATGTATGTATGTATGTATGTATGTATGTATGTATGTATGTATGTATGTATAACACACAAATTTATAGTTTACTTTGTGCAATCGATAGAATATGAACGTGATTAGATCACATTAAAAAAATGATAAAAATTAGTTTTTAACTGATGGTTTTTAAAAATATGCCTAAATTTACGCATATTTTGCAAATAGTTTTCAAAACATCCCACAAATATATATATATATATATATATATATATATATATATATATATATATATATATATATATATATATATATATATATATATATATATATATATATATATATATATATATATATATATATATATATATATATATATATATATATATATATATATATATATATATATATATATATATATATATATATATATATATATATATATATATATATATATATATATATATATATATATATATATATATATATATATATATATATATATATATATATATATATATATATATATATATATATATATATATATACCCGAGCTAGCACACATACGTTTTTAAAACATTAGAACAATGTTGCGCGTTTCGTTGGCCCAACATCGGCTGCCAACGTTATTTTTATATCATTATGGTTACAAATGCGACGTCGCTAACAACAAAAAAACAATGTTGATAAAATGTTTTTTTTCGAAAAATGGTTATATTTTCTACGTAGATTCAACGTTTTATTTTATACGTTGGCCCAACATTGTATTTACGTTGATTCAACGTTGAACTTTGAATGAAAAACGTTATATTAATAGTATTCAGAATTAAACTTTCATTAAATTCTATTTCATTTATATCTGTATATATATGTTTATATATATATATATGTATATATATATAAATATATTCATGTATATATACATCTGACGTAAACATTGCATTTAAATTAATAAAATTTATAGAGAGACGCTTGATCATCAAAACAAAAATCATGTTTGCGTTGATTGTGGTTAGATATTTTAATAATCACGGAAGAATTTATTTAAGTTATATAATTTCGCAATAGCAATATTTGGTCGCATACATTGGATCAACGTTGTATTTAGTTCGTATAAACAATCAATTTTTTGCGATGTATTTACATACATTGGATCAACGTTGATTTATATACATTGAATCAATGTCGAAATATATACATTGGATCAACGTTGGGTTTAGATCGAAAAACAATCAACGTTTTGCGATGTTTTTACATACATTGGAACAATGTAAGTTTGTTAGATGTTTTTAGTTCCATCGGTAATAATTTTATCATTAACCAAATGACATTGGATCAACGTTGGTTTTGCATTGGAAAAAAAAGCCAACGTTTGCGATGGTTTTACATACGTTAACCCAATGTAAGTGTGCTAGCTGGGTTGTGCCACATTGTGGCACAATGTAGTAAGATATTTTACTAGAACAATGCAATATATTGTCATTCGACTGTATAATTCTAAAATAAATGCAATAATAGTAATAATTTATTAATTGTACTATAAATATTATTTTATTATAGATTATAGAAGGAACAGGATAATTCTAATCTCGCGATTTACAGATACTTTCGCGATTAATAGATGCTTTTATTATAAATTATAGGTGAAAAACATCTATAAATCGCGAGGATAGAATTATCTTGTTCTATATAAAAGTATTATAATTCTATATAAGTTAATGAATCTATAAATAAACATAATCTAAAACAAATATATTTCTGCTTTATCCAAAGTTACTTAAATAACACAAGTGTCACCACGAGTAATACTTCTAAAAGGCAAACTAAAAACACTCTATCGAAAACAGAAACACTCATTAAGAAAATGAACTTTAAAAGTAAAAACGAACATGCAAGACTACTTTTCAAAATTATGATTATTTATACATTATATAAGCTAAACATATTTAAAAATTTATTTCTTATGTAAATTTCGTAGTCAGTAATTTTTTTCGTAGTAAGTTATTAAAAGTAAATTTTAACAACATCCCTCAATTTCATGATCTTTATGAAATAAAACCTAACTTTAAAAATGCAACAGTCACCTTAAGGTGGTACATACCTCAAAGAATGTCTTTTTTGACTAATATTGACTAAAACAAAATTACAAATTAAAAGAAATTAAAAAAATTAAAAAAAAAAATTATTATTCTTAAAAATAATTAGGGAAATACCGTAATTACGCAGATTTTCTGTTCCTATATACCTTTTGATTGCATAAAGATATTTACATCAAACTTTGCAAACTAATCAATAATAATGCTTGAGATTGAGAAGTAATATTAAAAACTTCTTCTGGAACAGAAGGAGGTTGTGAAAAAAAAAATGTTTTAAATAATACTCTATAATCTACATTCAAAATACCTTGACAACAAAATACATTAGAACAAAATTTGCATTAGAAAAAATAAAGTATATAAAAGAAAAAGAAAAAAAGAAAAAATTATAAACTATTTACTGTAACAAGTTTCTGAGTAATTCTTCTCAGATCCGATGGCTCTGAAATATCCTAGATAACATATACATGATGTCCATGGATTATAAGAATTAGAATTTAAACCGCATTTCTGACAAGATGTATTGCCTACATTCGGCTTGAAAGATTCACTGCTACACTTTATTGGTATTTATTGGTAACATATGTAAGACATTAGTTCAAATAATTAACAAACTGTTAAGAGGTTTACAATACTTAAAATGTCAGCATTATACAACATTACCAAAATCTAATAAATATACAATTATAACATTACCAATACCTAAAATTAATATCAAAAATGCCACCATTATAAAATTAATTCTACATGTAGTTTATTTAGGGGAAGGCTGCATAAGATGAGCAGGTTCTTAAGCTGGAATAACCTCTTTTACGGGTAGACTACTAATTTATTTGCGATTTTTTTTGTTAAGTATATTCGTATTTTATTGTTAGTTTAAATTTAGTTAAATTTAGTGTTATTTATTTTAATTTCTTGGTTGTATAGTTAATATCTTTTCATTGTTTTATTGTTTAAAAAATTTACCATCCCCGTTATAATTTCTCAAACATGTTCTGAACTAAAAAAATTTAATAAATTAAAAGTATAACTTTAATTTACGCAAGTACAATAATTCGGGTAATTTTCCCTAAAAAGAAGTACAAAAATGCATATAAAAATAAATAAATTATAATATTTTTTCAGTTCAGAACATATACTTTAATGTAAATAATGAATTATAAATTTATTTAATTAAATAAACTTCAATAAATTTGACCAAACTAGTTTTAAGTTATTTAGGATCAAAGTAAAAAAAATGTGAATCTGAAAAAACTAATTAAAAAATAAAAACTTATCTAAACAATTGCTATAAAATCTAAAAAGTTCCAGAAGCATACATTTCACCTTCTATAGAATATTTCTATCATCGAAACCCTTTTTTATTGCTCTGAGCTTTTAGGATAGAAATAAGGATAGGAAATAAAAAAAGTTCAGGTATCACCCTGGTTGCTAAGACCGTTGCTAAGGAACTTAAAAGTTATAGACATTTTCAAATGCTAAACTAAACTATTTTAGAGAATGTTTAGTCTAATTTTTATCTTATTATCAGAATTAGCAATGTTGAATTGACCAGAAAAAAATGAAAATTTAAATTTCGAAAATTTTGAATTTTTTGAGGTATGTACCACCTTAACAAAACCTTCATGAAAAAATAAACAGAAATAATTTAAAATTATATTTCGTGCTACGCATATCTCAGGGCCAGAAGGCACCGGGCGACCAGAGGGGCACTGGCCCCTCAACTTTTTTTCTAAAGGATCCTTTTTTTTTTTTTTTAGAAATTTTTAGATATAGAGGACTTTTTTACATAATTGACGATTGTGCCCCTTCACTTCGAAACCGTGTCGTCGGCTTAGATGTAAAAACATAAATTGCTTTCAAATTTTTTTTTTTTTTTTTTTTGCCGTTTCATATATTTACAATAAAGACAGCTTATGCTGACGATATCATTCTTCTCAGCTTTACTCTCTCGGGCCTAAAAATACTTATTTCAACGTGGAACATATACAACAATTTAAACGGGATAAAACTTAATGCTGTCAAAACGGAACTTTTGCTCTCTGGAAAAAGACAAATAATGAACTGCACAATATCTCTAGACAACCATCAAATTATACTTCGTGAGAAACTTAATCATCTCGGCTTTACTTGAGATACGAAAAAATCAATTTTTGCTTCACTAAATAAAATGAATATTGATAGTAGGGTATCAAATTTCCGGGCAACAGTGCAAACTCTTATTCAATCTGGAATCCGGTTTGCACATCCAAGATCTATTATCCAATTATACAAATCATTAGCAGTTCCAACGTTAACCCACGGTCTAGAGCTCTGTGAAAATAAAGATGCAACAATGAAAAGACTCGACACATTTGGAAGGAACGCAGTTAAATCAATTTTTAATGTCTCCAAGTATATTAAAAACTATATAAACTCTCTATTTAAAATTAAGGAGATGTCAAATTATATACACCAAAACAAAATAAATCTATTTATCCGCCTTTTAAGCAATAAAGTAACCTTTGAAATTATTAACTCCCAACTTAACTACTGTTCAGCTAAATTTTCTTTTTTAGATGATATAAAAGAATTATGTGATAATCATAAACTGAATATGAAAACCTTTATGCTGGTTAAAAAAAAGTAAAACTTAAAGTCTTAGAGGATGTAATTCCTGAAGCTACTCTTCATATTTTGGTACACGCGGTTCAATGTTGGAATGTAAAAGAACAGCGAACAATTTTTAAAAAGACACTTAAAGAAAACATTCCTAAATAATACTTTTTTTTTTATCTCTTTTTCTTAGTTTGTGTTTTTACCTTGTAAATATATTTTTCAGAGGGTGATTAATAAAATATTAATAATAATAATAATAAATAATTACATTTATAAAAATTGGCCGGAGAAAGAAGAAAACAATGACTGTCTTATCACCGAGCCCCGTTTACAAATCGTGTTTATAAACAAATATGAATAAAATATACAAAAAAACGTTAAAGAGTACCGTAGAACGGGGTGACTTTGATACGCGGGGTGACTTTGATAATTTCGTCTGTTAGTTACAAAAATAATGATTTGAATGTGAAATTGCACAATTAGAGACTATTTTTTTTTTTTTATTCTTGTACATAATTATATTCTGCTAATATTTTTGAAATTTTAATGATTGTGAAGTGATTCTAAATTGTGCAAATGTGTTAGGAATAACATGACTATAACAAAAAAATAACGATTTTTACACGTACCAAAAAATGCCAAAAAATCTTGTGATTTTAATTTTTTTGAAATTTTTTATTTCTAAAAATCTATACTTAGATGTTTAAGTGGTATTTTCCAGTTATAATACCACTGGAATATACCACATATATATGTTTTTTTTTTTTTTTTGGATATCTTTTTAATTTTGAATTGAGTTAACAACTAAAGGATATTATAAGTACTTAATATTTATATGCAATTAGTATTATTATTTTGTTAGTGTTATTTTATAACTGCTAATTACTATAACAATGTTATTGATATATTATTTTTCTGTGTTTAGCATATTAACATCAAATTTATTTTTGTTTTTTCTTTGTCCATTCTGTAGATATATTCGATAACCAAACTTGTTGTCTAAATTTATAATTTTACCAGTAAATCTTATAAGTTTATTAATATGTTGTGTTCTAATTTAGTAAAAGTCAAAAAGAAAGTATTAGCGACACTGTAAAGAGGGTTAAATCAATAAGCCATTAAGAAATAATAGACTATCAAAGTCACCCCAAACGACGGGGTGAGATTGATAACATTTTGGATTAAAAATATATATATTAAGACAAAAAAAAATTAAAAATATTTAATGGAATTATATAAAGGAAAGGTATAATGTTATAACGGGAAAAAAAAAATCAGAAAAAATTGTAATGAACCAGATTTGTTTTGCAAAAATGCTCAAAATCCTAACAAAGTCACCCCGTTCTACTGAACATAACTTTTGTCAAATAATAAAATGACAATTATATTAAAAATTTAAAAATAAAGTTTTGTATACTAATACAAATATATTTGATACATATAACAAATTATATTAAAAATTCTTTATTCCAACATTTAAATAAAACAAAAAAAATAATGATTTCTTTTAAATTACATTTTCTTTTTTTATTTAATTACAACTTTGAGAATTTTTTGTTCCTATTACCTTTTATTTTATATTACGTTCATTTTAAGTTTTGTTTTAACGCTATTGTCGAAAATTTAATATTGTAAAAACATGAATTCTACACACCGGTTCTTGATGATAAGACCTACCGATCTTCGGTGAGTTTCCCTCGTTTTTTTTACCAAAACACTGTTATTTTATGAAAATTTGGAATAATTAACTTTTATACATTACGTTAGTTTTTTTTGTTAACTTACATGTAACGTTCATTTTTGAACGTATAAGAAATTTTAATCTTCAATTACAAACTTTAATTACATTTTATTCAAACTTTAGAATAATCTCACGATTTTTATTTAACAAAATAAAAGTTAGTAAGTTTGTAGCGAATTACCAAAGTTCATTTGTCTCAAATAAAGATAAGAGAAAGATTGTTCCGTTAGCTTCTAAAAAAAATTAAAACATGCTTGCAGAACACAGTGGGTTAAAAAAGTACATAGCACAGATAACTTTCTTCTCTACACATGCTGCTCAAGAAATAACATTAAATGATAAAAATCATGCAACATCTGATACTGGTTCCCTTCTAATGAACTTTTAATTTTATTGCGTAATTTATATTTCTTCCGTTGCAATGGAATGATTTAATTTTTTTTGTTTTTGTTTCTATTTTTACAAAGAATTGTTTAAAATTTTTTTTTAACTCGACTAACTAATCAGAGCATGAAATGATTAAAAATTTCAATAGTAATTTTTTAAACAGTTAAAACAGTAAAGTTTTACTCTATGTAAAACAAGATTTAACTATGTAGGTTCTAGATTGTCGTTGAACGATTGTTGTCGCTCAGTCAAAAAATGTTGCCTCTGCTTATAAATATAGCTAACCAAAACTATCAAATGTTGCGTAGATAGATAACTGTTATCAAAAAGGTAAATGCTACCGAAGAAATGCCTGAAACCTTATTTACTGTAAAAAAAAATAAGAAAAGCCTGAAACCTTATTTACTGAAAAAAAAATAAGAAAAGCCTGAAACCTTATTTACTGTAAAAAAAATAATTAGTTTTTGTTGACTCTAATTATCATTAATTGAAACTGTTGTAACTTTTGTTTTTATTTGAAACTGTTATAACTTTTGTTTTTATTTGAAACTGTTATAACTTTTGTTTTTATTTGAAACTGTTGTAACTTTTGTTTTTAGACCATCTAGTTACTGAGTTAAACGCAATATTTGATGATACAACTATAAAGACACTCGACTTCTTTTCAAAAAACTTGAGTTTATTCAAAAACAATATTTTCTTCAACTAAATTTCCGCCCAAATGGTTTTTCTTTGGCGAATATGCAGACAGAGTTCAAGATATTAAAGAAGTTGTTAATAAGTTTGTTATAAATGATGGTAGACTATACTTTAAAATAAGTTCTAGTTGCAATATAAAATCATAATTAAAAATAAATAAAAAACATTAAAAATAAAATACATGTAAACAAGGCCGTCCCGAAAAGGTCTTTCATGGGGGGGAGGGGGTTATGTATTTTTGTTGCCAAAACTTGCTCAATGTGTCAACTCGCACATATGAAATGCTTACATGACAGCTTTGGGGGAGGGGGGAGAGGGGGAGGGATAGCCCTACACCCCCTTCGGGGTGGCCCTGTATGTAAAAATTTCTTTATTTGTCTTAACAGAATCGACACAACCTAAAATTAAGTTTAAAAAAAGAAGTTGGAGACCTTGAGCACTTTTATGGTTTTCATTAACTATTATGATTATATTTCATTAACTTTTTTATTTTTAGGGAAAGGATTAAAATTTTTAAGATATATTACAAAAAGAACTAATTTTTTATACAATTAAAGTTGTATTTTTAATTTAACTATAATAATTTACGTAATAGGCTTTCTTTTTTTAGTGAGGTTTTTGCTTCAATTTTTGTTCTTTTTTCATGCACGAAAATATCACATACAGTCAACTCTCGATATCTTGAATACTTGATATCTCGAACTTTTTTGAATCCAGTCGAACCCTTATTTATCGATTATACTCTCGATAACTCGAACATTCTCTATCTCGAACTAATTAATCGGTCCTTTGGAGGTTCGAGATATCGAGAGTTGTCTAATTAATTATAGTAATAGTTCTAGTTCTCGTTAACGAAAAGCTTTAATTTTTATTATAAATCTTTCATTCAAAAATATCACTGTTGATGACCAAGTTTAATTTGTTTTTAATTTAAAGGTTAACCTATTAAACACCTATATAACTATACCTATAGTTATATAGGTGTTTAATAGGTTAACCTTTGTCAGGTGTCACAAAACTGTAAGCACAAAAAGTTATTTAATGCAAAGTTTCTTTCCTGATAATAAAGGGGCTTTAAAATTTTATAGGTTTAAAAACAATTTAGTATTTATTTGATCTGAATTTTTATTTTCATACCCTGACTAATAATTAAAAGATATATTCAATATCTTGTGATTATTAATTATATAAATTGTTGTATGTTAAGTGAAGCAAAGAAGAAACATATTCAAGATTATAAATTTGTTAAGAAACGCTAAGAAAAAAACAAAATTTAAATAAAAAAAGAAGTCTATTTACTCTTCATCTTTAAAATCAATATTTTCATGAAATGTCTCGATAACCTCCTGATTGTATGGCAAAGAATCGTAAACCTGAGCATTGGATGTAAACCTTTTTAATACTTGTAAATCTCTGTACTTTGCCATAGAGATGCAAAGTTTTGCATTATACAGAATAGGGATTTCACTATTTATAGTGTTCTTCATATTATTTTTTAAATTAGTTTTAAACAATAATGCATTCCACGAATCACAATGAAATACAATGCCACTTGAGTCTCCTCTGAAACAAGTTTCACAAAGAGGACAAGTTTTGGATATTTATTCTTATAAAAAGGTCTCATAAAATCAGTTATACTTTCAACCATACCTTGCGTTAATTCTATACAATGAAACAGAGTGGGTTTTTTACGATCATTTTTGAATGTTTTAATCCAATCTGATGGATCACTAGTGGGTGTTTTGCAATTAATTAATCCCATATCTTTATCACATTCCATAACAGAATTACCACGTTTAATTAAGTCAAACTTTACAACTTACAACTTTAATTAAGTCAAACCTTTAATTTTCATGAACAAGAAAATCCATAAAACGAATTAATGTATAATTTTTGTTTTAGCCAGCACATGAATCACAAAATAGCTCTACAGATCAAATTTCTTTGTCTAAATGTTTTATAAAAAAATCATCGAAGTTACTTCATCAGCCCCTTTTTTAGCTATAGTTTCATCATAACAAAAAAAATAAACTTGCCTCAAATTTGTACTCCCTTTGTGCTTTAAACCAAGCATTTCTTTTCCTAACATAAAATATTTTTGTATCTTTGTGGTGCTGTTCTTTCTGTAACTCAAGCTCATGCAATTGTTGTTCAAGCTTTGTTAATTATTTTATTTACAAAGCTTGTTTATTTAATTAATTAAAAGATAGTTCAATTTTTATTTCATCAATTTTAATTTTAAACTCATCGCATTTAGAACGTGTCAGTCCTGGGGTACCCAAAAGAAATGTTAAAACTTTTGTTAAATATGTTGCGATAAGATTCATATGACAATTTATCATTTCCATACTTAACTTTAAACAAGTCATACATCTTGGTTATAATTAATAGATCTTGGTATCTACCTCTGAAAGAAGAAATGTGATTACATATTTTATTTTTTAGTTGAGGAGTAAAATTGTTTTACTGATTCTTGTGTTTACCTCTTCTATCATGGGGAGAGTGACCTTAATGAAAAAAATAATTTTTATATAAAGGAAACTTCCATTAAAAATAAGCATTCTATATTCAATAAAAATATATAAATTACCTTTAGCTAAAAGGCTTCTTTTAATGGTCTCTAATCTCGCAGAAAAGCAAACATAAATAAACGAACACGTAAGTATCTCGTGATTTGTAATAAAAAGTTTACATTTGTAACTGCTATTATAATCTTTTGAATTAATGTTTCGTAGTTTTCTTCTTGAAACGTTATTTAAAGTTATTAGACTTGCAAGATACGAATCTTGAGCATCCTTGCTGGATAGAGAGTTAAAATATATTATTAACACTTTTCTATCTTCTTTTTTAAGCATTTCAGCCTTATACAGTTACATTGAAGCCCTGTTTTATGCAATGCTAATCTTTGTTTCTTTATACTTTCACGCAATCTTTACTTACTCTTTCTTTTCTTGGATTTTTTTAGCATTTTTATTGGTATTTCAAGTGTCGCCGTTTTTATTATTTAATTTACATTAACCAAATCACCCGTGATTATTTTGAAAAATAAAGACTTATTGCCGTAAGTATGAGTCTTGATAATTCAAAAAATAAAAATGGTAAACTTGGTTTATGTCTATTAGTAAGTTGCAAATATAATTTTTAACTCATTAACACTTGTCTTTTCGGGGAGGTATGTATTGTATAATAAAAAAAAGTGATTAAGTTCCATCAAACTATAAAAGTGCATCCAATTGTTTTTTTGATTTGAATTCAGATAAAATGTATAATAATATTGTTTATAAAGTTAAAAAGTGTAAAATGTCAAATTTTCAAAATGTAACCCTACCGTTTCTTCCCGTAGAGTCTTCATATGTATATGTGTATATATATATATATATATATATATATATATATATATATATATATATATATATATATATATATATATATATATATATATATATATATATATATATATATATATATATATATATATATATATATATATATATATATATATATATAAATATCTTTTTTTTTAGGTGCCTTAAGAGAATCGATTTTTAGAACTTTTGGATCAATTTGAAGAGATTTTAAGCAGCCGCGTGCGCTGGTTACGTTTCTGAGGCAAGTGCGCTTGCCTCAGAAACGTAACTCTTCAAATTGGCGTAATCTCTTCAAATTTGCGCAACTTCGACACGGCGCAATTGGTGCAACTTCATTTCACTTGGCGCACATTTCAACATACATTTCACATTTCAATTTCACAATTCATTGTTTCACAACTCAACATACATTTCACATTTCAATTTCACAATTTCAACATACATTTCACATTTCAATTGGCGCAATTGGCGCAACTTGCGCAATTGGCGCAACTTCAACACGGCGCAATCATGTAACAACAGCGCACACGGCTGCTTAAAATCTCTTCAAATTGATCCAAAAGTTCTAAAGATACTTAGCAAAATCTTTTCGTAAAATATTTTGTCATTAGCACTAAAATATGATCGTAGATCTCAAATTATTATAAAATATGATTGCACACCGCATCACATTAAAGTTGTTTTGATGGCGGAGATTGCAAAGTTGAACCTTTTCTTATGATTCTAAAGCTTATTTTTAGTAATTTCCTCAACCTTAACACACATTTGCTTAATGAAAATGTTTGGTGGGTGTAAAGTTGGTATAGTGGCAAACAATTGTTATAAAAAAATACACAAAAAAAGTACACAAAAAGTAATCTTGCATCCCTCTATACAAAACTGAAAACACTTAAGGCGTTTAATCATCAATAAAATATAGTTTAATTTTTAATAAAATTGCATTAACTTTAATAAAATAAAAACCAATAATTATTACTGAAAGTAACAGTTTTATTGACTAGTAAGTTTGACTCTTTAAAAACCTACTTTTAAAGCACAATTTACTTGTTTCGACAATTTACTTATACTTCTCAATCTTTTTAAAGTTTAATTGCTTACCCAACAGAGACGTTTTTAATGATAAGATACGATCAGGCTGTGGAATTAGATTAACAGTATTTTGTGTTAGTTGAAATTTCAGTTTTACCAACCTCAATTTGCTTTAGTTCGTACAATATCATTAGACATGGAATTGGACCAATCTCACTTTGCGATAGTTGGTACGATTGCATTTGACTTGCAGTTGGACCAACCACAATTACATTTGACTTACAGTTGGACCAACCACAATTACATTTGACTTGCAGTTGGACCACAATTTGTGTTAACTAACCCAAATATCAAACTAAGTTGGTGTTCTGATTTTAAGTCAAAGTATTTCAAAAGCAAAAAATAATAATAAAAAAAAAAGTTGCAATACAACTAAGTATTAATTTTTTATTCTATCTAGTATTTATATTAATTAAAGTATCAAAATCTGCAGCCTCGGGTCAGCCTTGGGTCAGCTTCGGGTCAGAAGTATGTTTGAAAAACAAAAGTATCAAAGTAATAAAATACTAAGGTTTAAAGGAAAAAATGGTTAGAAAGATAGTATAAAGAAGTTGGAAGGCTCTTTTTGCGTCTTTTAACAATAATAATATTATTGTTAATATCATTAGACATGGAATATCATTAGACATGGAAAAAAAACAACAAAAAAAACAAAGTACA